CCAAGACAGGAGGATTACTTGAGCCCAGGCACTCCAAACCAGCCTGGGCAACACAGCAAAATCTAGATCTAGTCTCCTCAAAAAAATAAAACATTTGCTAGGTGTGGTGGTGCATGCCTATAGTCCCAGCTTAGGAGGCTGAAGTGAAAGATCACTTGGGTGTGGGAGGCTGAGGCTGCAGTGAGCTGTGATTGTACCACTGCACGCCAGCTTTGGTGATACAAGACTCTGTCTTTAGGAAAAAAAAAAAAAAAAAAAGCAAAAGCCATAAAGCTTTTAAGAAGATTACATACAAGAAAATTTTCATGATCTTGGAGTAGTGAATGACTCTTTTAATACAAAAGATAAAACACTAGACAGAGGAAAGGTGTAAATAGGACATTAAAATTACAAATGACCATGAAGAATGGAACAATAAGCCATAGAATGGGACAGTATAGATATTCAACACATGTAAATTAATAAAGGACTCTAGTATGCTGAACATATGAAGAACTGAAATTATTAAGAAAAAGAAAAGGCAATTAGAACAATAAGCAAAAGACTAGAACAAGTATATCATAAAATGCTCAACCTCATTTAAACTTAGGAACAAGCAAATTAACACCATGCATATATCATTACACAGCAACAATTTGTGAAAACAGACTGGATCAGCCTGGGCAACACAGTTAGACGCTGTCTCTACAAAAAAATACAAAAATTAGCCAGGTGTGGTGGTGTGTACCTCTAGTCCCAGCTACTTGGGAGCTAAGGCAAAAGAATTGCTTGAGTCTGGGAGGCTAAGGCTGCAGTGAGCCGTGTTTGTACCACTGCTCTCCAGCCTGGGCAACAAAGTGAGACACTCTCAAAGGGAAAAAAAAAAACAAAAAAAAAACCCAACAAAAACAAAAACAATTTAGACTGACCACACCAACTGCAGGTGAAAATTTGGAATACTAGAAACACATACTCTGTTGCTATGAACATTCTTATACTTTAGGCCAAAAAACTGTTTTTCCAGGAACTGTACACTTTTCTCCTATGGAAATACTAATTGGTACAATCACTTTGGAAAATAATAGTTTGTCATTATTCTACCCTAATACCCAGATATTCCTCTTCTGGGCATAAACCGTAGACTCTAGGACCCAGCGAAACAAATGAACATGTACAAGAATGTTCTTAGAAGAATTCTATAATATCATCAAACTGTACACAATCCAAATATCAGTCAGCAGCAGAATAGTGGGATGTTCATAAATACTATCCTATATAAAAATTAAAATTAATGAACTCAATACACACAAAAACATGGATATAAGAAAATCAACACATGAAAAATATAGCAAAATTTATATAAAGTTCATTAATGAAAACTGTTATCAATTAAAAATACATAAACTAAATGATATTATTTGAAGATGCATACATAGTTAAGAAAATTCTAAAAAAACACCAAGAAAAGGATTATCACCAAACTCTATTTTGTGATTATCTCTGGGGGAAGAAAGCAGGTTGTGACTGGGAGACCGTACATAGCAAATTTTTAAGGGTCTATAAATGATCTTTCTACAATTGAGTTGTGGTTAAGTGAATGTTAACTTTACAACTGCATGTTAAACTGTGCATATTTCATGTATTTTAATTATGCTTATCTCAACAACCACACTGTACACACTACACACACACACACACACACACACACAGAAACATAGGTTGATTTTTCCATCAAAATTTGAACCGTTATCTTCAGGTAGTAAATTCTTTTGTATCCTTTTTTTTTTTTTTTTTTAAATAATAGGACTAAATACCTTCTCACAACAATATAATGGACATGACAGGAAAATTAAGGCACCTTATATTTACAGAATGTCTTTCTGTGCAAAACATGATGCAATACTCTTCTTATACATTAACGCGTTAAAAATTAATAACTCTAAAAGGTACTTATTATCAGTCACTTTACTGAGGTAATTGCCAGTGTTCAGATAAATAAATGTCAAGCTAGTCCAAATCTGAAAATTGAAGATTTCCCACCATTCTATACAAATTCCCACAGCAAACAGTTTACTATCCATCTATTCATCTTCCCCTTAAAATATTCTGTGGTATCTGCCTCATGTGATATTCAATTGATTTATTCATTTATTCAACATTCAATCATTTATTTAACAAACATTTATTTAGTACCTATTATATTCCAGGTACTGTTTTCATATGAGTCATACAAGGGTTAAAAGGAATGGCAAAGTCTAAGCTTACATTTTGGTTGGGGAGACAGGCAATAAATAATTTCAGACAGTGATCAAATTCTATGGAGAAAACAGAATAAAGTGACAATGACTCAGGGTGGTAGAAACACTTGGGTTGAGATTTGAATGTTCAGTCAGCCATGCAAACTACTGAAAGGGTTCCATGCACAGGGACCAGTAAGCACCAAGGTCCTGGAAGGGAAATGTGCCTTAGTGGACAGAAAGCAGGCAACGCTGTCTAGAATCCCATGTGCAAAAAGGACAGAGGGTGAATTATGGAGGGTCAGGTAAGTCATAGCAAAAAGTTTAGATTCCTAGCCTAGATGCAGTAGGAAGCTATTTTAAGTTTTTAAGAAAGGGAGGGCCACGGTACAATTTATATTTTTAAAAAATTTAGGAGTATATAAAGAAAAGGCTGCTTCAGAAGAAGGGAGTTGGCAATGGCAAAAGTGAAAGGAGGAAGACTACTTGTTATTACAGAAATCCAGGGAGGAGATTAAGGAGATTGAACGGGAATGGGCAACCATGAAAACAGACATGGACAGTTTCTACATATATGCTGAGGATAGATCGGATCAACTGAGTGCTAATTTGTTGAACAGCTATTTATTCTATACTGTAATGTTATCAGGCACAGTTCTAGATGCTGGGTATATGAAACTGAATAGGACAGAAAGGGTCCCTGATCTCAAGGAACTTATATATTACATATCCTAATATGAAAAGCAGAAATTTAATAGATAAAAATATCCTATAAAGTCAGGTAAGAAGTATTACAATGAAAGCTAAAGGAAAAAGAGAGACAGAGGTGGTTATTATTTTAGATAAGTCAAGGAAAGACTTTGCAGAAGTGACATTTAAGCAGGCACCTAAAGTGAAGCACAAGCCACACAAATATTTGGGAGTAAAGTATTATAGGTACAGGTAACTGCAAGTGAAAAGACGCTGAGGAGGCAATGTGCTTATCTTCTTGTGAGAAGAGCAAAGCCAATGTGGCTAGAGCAGAATGAACAAGGAGTGGAGTGGCACATGAAGCCAAAGAAGTGGCCAGGAGATAGATCACATAAAGCTGTATAGCTTATACATTGAGTTTTGAATTTTATTTTAAGTGTGTTAAAAAGCCATGTGAATTGAGAACAGGACCAGGATATCTGATTCACATTTTAAAAGGATCATTCTGACAGCTTTTCTAGAAAATAAACTTCTGAGGGATAATACAAACAGAGAGATGACAGTGCCTTCAACTGGAGTGGTACTAGCTGAGGTGTGAAGTGGGACATATTTTGAATGGATTTGTTAAATTGAATAGGATCTGCCGAATTGAATGTAGAATATGGGGGGAAAAAAGTGAAGGATGACCTAGGGTTTTGGCTTAAGGAACTGAGGAGTGAAATAACATTTCTGAGAAAGAGAAAACTAGTAGAGAAACAGGTTGGAGAACAGGAATCAAAAGCTATTTTTGGTCATGAGATGCCTACTGGATGTTCAAGTGGAAATGTAAAGTAGGTAAAAGGCTAGTGCTCAGAGAAGAAGTTCAAGCCAGTGAGAGCTGGTTTTTTGTTTGTTTGTTTGTTTTTTGAGACAGAGTCTAGTTCTGTCACCAGGCTGGAGTGCAGTGGCGCAATCTTGGCTCACTGCAATCTCTGCCTCCTGGGTTCAAGAAATTCTCCTGCCTCAGCCTCCCAAGTAGCTGGGACTACAGATGCGTGCCACCACGTCCAGCTAATTTTTGTGTTTTTTTTTTTTTTTTTTTAGTAGAGACGGGGTTTCACCATGTTGGCCAGGATGGTCTGATTTCTTGACCTCATGATCCACCCGCCTTGGCCTTCCAAAGTGCTGGGATTACAGGCATGAGCCACTGCGCCCAGCCTGTTTTTGAAAGATACGAATGACTCACAGATAATTCTCAAGAATAAAATTTCTCCCATATTTGAGAATTTATACAGACTCAATTCTTAGGCATACCCTAAGTAGGTTCAAATAAATAAAACAGTTTCAAATTTATTCCTGCTATGGGTATACTCCAGTAATACAATTTGCCAGTATACATTAATATGAGATAAACTCTAATCATAACATTCTACATGTTCTTGGCTTCAGATTAAAATAACTAATTAATTTTATACTTTTTATAATTTAAAAAATTTCTATTAGAGGCAGGGTCTCACTTTGTCATCCAAGCTGGATTGCCTTGATGCAATCACAGCTCACTACAGCCTCAAATTTCTAGGCTCTTGCAATCCTCCTCTCTCAGCCTCCTAAGTAGTTGGGACTATAGGCAGGAGCCAAGGCCTCAACCTAATATGCTCTAAAGTTAATACAAATTTTATTAGAAAAACAAAGGTTTTGTAAGTCATAGGTAAAGGAATAATGAATCAGATCTATTTTTCTTACAGCTTCCTTACTCTTCCCTTCCCTCTTTTATTCTTTATCATCTAAAAGCTTGGTCACGAGTAAGTTCAAAAAGTAGATAAAATATGGCTGTGAAAGTAGAAAATATAGAAAAATATTTAAGATGCTCAACAGTAATTTTGAGAGTAAAGTTGGTTAAGCACTAGTTTATGCTCCACTTCTCCTTGAAAGGCCAACCAGTATTTTACTAACTATGCTGGAAAACACATCTACCTGCAATTTTAATTAATCATTATAATTCAAAAACAGGTATATATAACTGGCCAGGCTCTTTTGAAAATATAGGTACAAACCTTGGGGATATATGTTTTGAAGCTAGCCTCGATTCACAGACTGATAAATCTACTGTCCAAGTCACAAGGCTTATATCTTTATTGGTTCATCTTATAATTAAGTCAACATGGGAGAAATATATACTTTTTGGATTAAACAAAATGTTTTGATAAAAATGGGAAATGTGTATATAAAAGCTGGAAAACTCATGTCCTCTGAAACTTGGCTTCCACTAGATGAATTTCAAATTCAGATACTAAATACACATGAAGAAATAATCTAATGAATTCTAATCATCCTTTCCCCAAAGTTTTCCTTACAATTAAGATATAGGTATTATTTGTATGCAGAATAAACAAAATGAATTGGAATATGTTTGGATAAAGAGGGAAGTGAATACTTTAGGAACTATTGTTTGCAGTTTGCAGAATAGGTTAATCTTCTCTAGGAAGAATAATGTCAATATAGCAGCACTATATTCACCAGGATTCCCCAGAGCCAATGTCAGATCATGTGGCAGGAAGCCAAACCTTCTGGCTGCTCACAATATCTATCAGCTTCCCTTTAATCTTCAGGAAGTGTCTCTTGAATTCCAATCCATCACCCTATATTAGAAATAGTATTCAAAAATAATGTCAAAATAAAAACAAAAACAAGATTATGACCTAAAATTAATCTCTTTTTAGTGGTAATAAGAGACAAACATGCTTAGATATATGTCTAGCTACAATTTCCTTTTAAGCCCGTTTATGAAGACCAAATATCCTGGCAGAGAAAATAGTTAAAAAATAATTCCGATGTAGTTTCATGCCCATCACTGTTCCTACCGCACTGAGCTCAGACAGCAGATAAAATGGCATCCTCTCTGTTTCATGTGTTGGTATATCTGGACCTAAGTCATTACATTGCATAGGCAGTAGGGTCTGGAAACTAACAATAAGCTATACAACTAAACTGAAGTCTTGTCATAACACTATTGCAATAAAACCAACAGATTTAGTTATGAGAAGAATTTCATTATACTACAATCTTAATAATTTAATTCCATAGTAAGCATCTAAAAAACAGTATTGCAGCAAATCTCTAATACAAGGAGTACTGCAGCAAATGCTCTAACACAGCAGCTACCCCTCCAACCACACATACAATCTCTTGGAAAATGGAGAAAAATGCTATTTTGGATTTACATATTAAGGGCTATAAAACTACAACTTTAAAATCAATAATTTCTAAAGAAATCACAAATATGAACAAAAAATCTATGCAGAATGTATCAATCAGAATTATTATAACATGTAAAGGTTCATTATATAATGAAACATTTTTTAACAAATCATAATTTTTATTAAAAGATAAATTAAGAAAAATATTAAAATGCTTCAAAATCTTAAAGGTGATTACTGCTGGGGAGAAAAATTTAGAATTATTTTTATTTTACCATTTTTTGCTTATCTACATTTTTCACAAAAGCATAAGCTTTGTTTCTTTTTTTTTTTTTTTTTTTTTTTTTTTTTTTTTGAGATAAAGTGTCACACTGTTGCCCAGGCTGGAGTCCAATGGTACAGTCTCGGCTCACTGCAACCTCCAACTCCCGTGTACAAGCGATTCTCCTGCCTCAGTCTCCCAAGTAGCTGGGATTACAGGCACCCACCAGCATGCCTGGCTAATTTTTTGTATTTTTAGTTTTACTATGTTGGTCAGTCTGGTCTCAAGCTCCTGACCTTGTGATCTACCTGCCTTGGCCTCCCAAAGTACTGGGATTACAGGTGTGAGCCACCGTGCCCGGCAAAAACTTTTACAATAAGGAAAACGTCAGTTGAAAAAACAATGTTTGGGAAAAACAGATTAACAAAAGCTCATGCTCATAATATTAAATGAAAAAATTACCTTCTATTTACAAATGCCACATATATACAAACATAATGGCATTTAAAAAGTCACAGAAATATTTCCATAGAAAAAATACTATAATAAAACATAAAATTACCTTAGAAAGCCGGAAGTCAACCAGTATCTTATCATCCATTTCTAACAAATTCACTTTGAAAATGAGTTTATTGTTTCTCCTATCAGTTGTTGATACAGTAACCTGAAGTAACAAAAATAAGGTTAAGCCATATAGTATACCCACTATGAAGAACAGAATGGAAGTTCTTCCAAATCTACAAATAAAACTACCTGTAAGATCCAGCAATCCCACTATTGAGATGTTATCCAAAGGAAAGGAAATTATATGGAAGAGACATTTGCATCCCTACAGAGTTATTCACAATAGCCAAGATATAGAATCAGCCTAGGTACCCAACAACAGATGAGAATAGGCCAGGCACTGTGGCTCATGCTTATATTTCAGTACTCTGGGAGGTCAAAGCAGGAAGATCCGTGAGCCCAGGAGTTCAAGACCAGACTGGGCAACATATCAGTCTCTCATTTCTACTAAAATTCCAAAAAAATTAGCCAAGCATGGTGGTGCGTGGCTGTAGGCCTAGCTACTCAGGGAGGCTGAGGCAGAAGGATCACTTGAGCCCAGGAGGTTGAAGCTGCAGTGTGGTATGATTGAGCCACTGCACCCCAGCATGGGCAACAGAGCGAGATCCTGTCTCCAAAAAACAAAACAAAAAGCCAAGCAAACAGATGAGGATAATATGATATATATACACAATGAAATACTACTCAGCCATATAAAGTAATGAAATCCTGTCATTTGCAGCAACATGGGTGGAACTGGAGGACATTATGTTAACTGAAATAAACCGGGAACAGAAAATTAAATATCACATGTTCTGTAGAAACAAAAAAACAGTTGATATCATAGAAGTAGAAAGCAGAACAGAGGATACTAGAGTCTAGGATGGGTAGGGGGAAGGTAAAGATAGAGATTAGTGAAAGAATACAAAATTACAGCTAGATAGGAGTAAGTTCTAGACCACTGTAGGATGACTACACTTAACAATAATCGAGTTTCAAACAGCTAGAAGGATATTGTACATTTCCATCACAAAGAAACTATTAATGTTTGAGATTATGAATTGCTAATTATCCTGATCTGATCACTATATATTATATGAATCAAAACATCACTATGTACCCCATGAATACATATAATTGTTGTATCAATTAAAAAAATTTTTTTTAAATTTGCAGGCTACTTGCATAACAGGAGTAGTATTAAGTATGCTGATAATCTCACTCATTCCAGAGTCTCTCTTCTCCCAACGGGTATATGTATCCCCACCAATCTATCAACAGAAGTGCAGCTCCCAGGGATTGAGTGTATATGAACTCATAGCAACAAAACTTACTGTATTTTACCAAAATACCACTGAAAGAAGAAACAATCAAAGATGAAAATATGAGAGGAAAAGCAAGATGATTAAAACATGAGAAAGAAAAAGGCCTGACTTGTGGCTGAAAAGCTAGAGCGGCAATTAGAAGATGGCCAAGGTCTTGAGATGCCTTGCAACTTTCACTTTTAGAACGCTCCTATGGTATGTAAAGATGCTCAGCCTAGCTGATTGATGCAGACAGAAAGCCTCAGCTAACAGCCAGTACCAAGACTCCAAACATGGGAGTAAGAACATTTGAAACCACCAGCCACCGTAAAGACATCAAATGACTACATTTGATGTATAATGAATAAGCTGGATGAGTAAGCCTGAGCAAGATCAGCAGATATGCTTGAAAAATCCAACCCAAATTACAAAAGTAGTTGTAATAATTCTTACTTCAAGAAACTATAAAAACACACATCTATACCACAACTGTGCAGCACTGAAAAAACAAACTAGTTCTGGGAAAATTAATACAAGATATTCAACTCAACAAATCTGAATTAAGCTCTTAAACTTCAAAGACAGAAAATACTTCAAGAACTGAAAGATAGTGAATCAAGGAGTGATGTCAGTGAAAATGGCAGAGGAAAGAACTCCAGACGTCCATTACTCCACAAAAGCAATTTTAAAAATCTGCCAAAAACTGTCAGAATCAACTTTTTCAGAATATTGTAAACTAACTAGAAGCTTGCAACTTATTCAAAACAAGTGAAACTCAGTGAGAACAGTGAGCTTTCTGGCATTGTAACTTACCCTGTTCACATCCCCTGCTCCTCACTCAGTGGCAGCCTTGAAAATTAACAGTCCATATTTCAGGTATAGGTCCAGGTGGGAGCAAAATAAACCTCATGTACAAACTATCTTAAGCCAATCTGAACCTCTAAAATAACCCAATCAAAAGGCTTGTCCTGGCCGGGTGAGGTGGCTCACGTCTAATCTCAACACTTTGGGAGGCCAAGGCGGGTGGATCACCTGTGGGCTGGAGTTCCAGACCAGCCTGACCAACAAGGTGAAACCCCATCTCTACTAAAAACACAAAAATCAGCTGGGCTTAGTGGCGGGTGCCTATAATCCCAGCTACTTGCAAGGCTGAGGCAGGAGAATTGCTTGAAGCTAGGAGGCAGAGGTTGCACCACTGCACTCCAGCCTGGGTGAGAGAGCCAGACTCTGACTCAAAAAAAAAAAAAAAAAAGAAGAAGCTTGTCTTTATTTTGCCTTTGTTAACTGTAACTCACCTTGTGGTAAAGCTGCTCCTGGGTAGTGTTTGCTGAAAACACTTACAGGAAAGTGCTTTAGTCTCTGCTGCCTAAAGCAGTGAGAGCAACTGGGGCAAACAGACTACCCAAGAAGTCTGGAAGAAAAAGTTAGGGAATGAGATTTTTGAGGAATAATGACTTTTGAAAAGGTCCAGCATATACCTGGGAATCTAAAAGGACACACCCATGACGAAGGCAGTACACATGCTTAGGAAAAAGCTGAGAGAGCCCTAAGCTCTACATCTGCCCTAACTTTGTATTTTGCACAAGCGGATAGTGAAGGCTGAGGCAACATTGTAAACTTCTTGGCTGAGTATTGCAGGTGTGCCCCAACACAAATACAGAACCGCTATGCAGATTTTTTGTTTTTGGTAAACAGAATTTAAGGAAATCTCTGTCCAATCATTAGCTGACCACTAAAACTAATAGGACAGAAAGTGCACAGCCATGCATGACAAACAATACCAACTTTAAAAAATTACATCAGAAAAATCACCAAGGCCAGGCGTGGTGGCTCATGCCTGTAATCCCAGCACTTTGCAAGGCTGAGGCGGGTGGATCACCTGAGGTCAGGAGTTTGAGATCAGTCTGGCCAACATGATGAGACCCTGTCTCTAGTAAAAATACAAAATATTAGCCGGGCTTGTTGGCAGGAGCCTGTAATTCCAGCTACTTGGGAGGATGAGGCAGGAGAATCACTTGAACCCAGAGGTGGAGGTTGCAATGAGCTGAGATCATGCCACTGTACTCCAGCCTGGGTAACAAGAGCGAAACTCTGCCTCAAAAAAGAAAAAGAAAAAGGTCACTAAAAAAACCAAACAACTACCTCAAGCAGTAACAAACCCTGGTAAGAGGGGAAAATCTGACTTCTAGAGTTGCCACATATTGCCACAATATGCCCAGTTTTCAACAAAAAATTACAAATCATGTAAGGCAACAAGTATGGCCCATACAAAACAGTCCCTGAGGAACACAAAGAAAGAATAATGAAAAGTGAACAGAGTCTAAGAACTGTGGTACATCAAGTGTACCAACAATACACATAATGAGTCTAAGAGGGAGAGGAGAGTTAGGTACAGAAAAAAATATTTGAAGAAAAATGGCGAAAAACTTCCCAAGTTTGATTAAAAACATTAATTTACACATCCAAGAGACTCAGTGAACTCCAAATAGAATGAACAAAGAAATCCACTGCAAGATACATCATAATCAAACTGTGATCAACAGAGAAACTTAGAAGCAGCAAGGGAACAGCAAGGTCTCACGTAAAACAGGTCCTCAGTAAGATTAACAGCTGATTTCTCATCAGAAACCACAAAGGCTAGAAGGTAGTAGTGGCATATTCAAAGTGCTGAAAAACAAAAGCTAATAAGAATTCTGTATCCAGTAAAACCCCCTGTGGAAGAGAAAATAAGGCACTTAAAACTGATAGGAACAGATACTACACCTGATCTTAGACAAAAGGCTGAGAAGCGATTTTTTTTTTTTTGAGACAGTCCTGCTCTGTTGCCCAGGCTAGAGAGCAGTCACAATCAGATCATGGCTCACTGTAGCCTCGATCTCCTAGGGCTCGGGTTATCTTCCCACCTAAAGTGTCCGCAGTAGCTGGGTTTACAGGCACACACCACAATGCCCAACTAATTTTTAAAATATTTTTAGTAGAGATGGGGTTTCACTGTGTTGGCCAGGCTGGTCTCAAACTCTTGGCCTCAAGTCATCTGCCTGCCTCAGCCTCCCAAAGTGCTGGAATTACAGGTGTGAGCCATGACACCTAGCTAAGGAATTTTAGATTCAAAGACATAAATAGGTTAAAAGGAAAAGGAAAAAAAAAAAAAAAAAAACAGACTGTGTAAACAATAAACAAGAGAGTTGGTAGCTGGGTAAGGTGGTATGTCCCTGCAGTCCCACCTACTTGGGCGGCCAAGGCAGGAAGGTCACTTGAGCCCAGGAGTTTGAGGCTGTGGGTGCACTATAATTGTGCCTCAAATAACCACTACACTCTAGCCTGGGCAACATAGTAAGACTCCATCTAAACAAAAGAAAATACACAGAAGATAGCCGGTGAACTGGTGTGGCTATACTGATACTAGACAAAATAGACTGATGAAAATTGCCAATTTAGCTGGGCATGGTAGTGCATACCAGTAGTCCCCATTACTCGGGAGGATCACTTGAGCCCAGAAAGTCAAGGCCAGCCTCGTCAACACAGAGAGAATGTATCTCTACAGAAACATTTTTAAAAAGCTGGTATGTAGTGCACACCTGTAGTCCCAGCTACTTAGGAGGCTGAGGTGGGAGGATCACTTGGGCACAGGAGGGCAAGGTATTAATATACCATATTAATAAAGGTGAAAAAATCCACATGATTATCTCAACAGATGGAGAAAACATCTGACAAAATCTAACACTCTTTCATCATAAAAACAAAAACCTCACAGCTGACATCATACTTAATGCTGAAAGACTCAAAACTTTCCCCTAGGATCAAGAACAAGACAAACATGTCCACTCTCACTATTTCTGTTCAACATAATGTTGGAAGTCCTATCCAGGACAACTGAACAAGAAAAAGAATTAAAAGGCATCCAGATAGGAAGGAAAAAAGGCAAAACAATACACTGTTTTAATTTATCAAAAACAATCTTCATATATATAAAAACTTAAACCAAGAATTTGCAAAAAAAAAACAACAACAACAACAACAAAAAAAAACAACAAAAAAAAAAACTACTGGAGTTAATATATGAGTTCAGCAAATTTTCAGGATACAAGATCAATATACAAAATTTATTTGCAAATATACTCTTGAACAATTTGAAATAAAATTGAAAAAAAAATTCCATTTACATCAGCATCAGGATAAAAAAAAGAATAAACGGGATTACATTTAACCTAGGAAGTGCAAGACTTGAACACTGAAAACTATAAAATATTCTTGAAAGAAATTAAAGACCCTAAAAAATAAAAAAGTGTCCCATGTTATTGGATTGGAAGATTAAGGTTTAGCAACCTTAATCTAAAATCTGAAATCCAAAATGTTCCAAACTCCAAAACTATTAGGGTGCTGACATGATGCCATGAATGAAAAAATTCACACCTGATAAGTTTGCTTTCTGATAGTACAATGTACACTTTTTTTCACGCACAACATTACTTAAAACATTGTATAAAATTGCCTTCAGGCTATTTGTATAAGGTATGTACGCAGCATAAATAAAATTCATGCTTCATCTTGAGTCCCATCCACAAGTTATCTCTTTATGTATATGCAAATATTCCAAATCCAAACAAAGGTAAATCCACAAAACTTTTTATCCCAAGGACCTTGAATAAGGAAGACTCAATCTGTACTAAAATGGAAATCTTCCCCAAGTTTATCTATAGATTCAATGTAATCTCTTTTAAAATTCCAAATTTTTTTTTTAGAGAAACAAATCAGATGATCCTAAAAGTCAGAAAGAAAAACAAGGGGCCACAAATAACCAAAATACCTTGAAAAAAAGAACAAACTTGGACAACTCATACTTTCTAATTTCAGAACTCACTACAAAGCTACAGTCATCAAAATAGTGTGGTAGTGGCACAGCACAGGCATATAGATCTAAGAAACAAAGAACTGAGTACACAGGGGAGGAAAAAGAAAAGAAAAAAAAATTGAGTCCAGAAATAAACCCACACATCTATGACCGATTATTTTCAACAAAGGTGCCAAGACTATCCAATTGGAAAAGATGTCTTCAACAAATGGTGCTGTAAAAACTGAATATTCACATACAAACATTTGAATTTGGACCCTAACTCATACCATATACAAATATTAACTCAAAATGGACAAAGACCTAAATATAAGAGCTAAACTTTAAGGCTGTAGTCCCAGCTACTTAGGAGGCTGGGGCATCTAAAAGAAAGTGTAAAGTATAAATCTTTACAATATTATATTAGGTAACAGTTTCTTAAATTTGACACTAAAAGCATAGGCAACAAAAGAAAAATTAGCAATCCACTGGAATTCATCAAAATTTAAAACTTGTGCGCATCAAAGAACACTAATAAGAAAACAAAAAGAATGGAGGAATTTTCTCCCACAGAATCGGAGAAAATATTTGCAAATCAGGTATCTGACAAGGTTCTGGTGTCCAGAATGTACAAAGAACTCTAACAACAATAAAAAGAATCCAGTTAAAATATGGACAAGAGATCTGAATAGATACTGTTATAAAGAAATGGCCAATAAGCATATAAGAGTATGCTCAAGATCATTCGTCATTAGAGAAATGAAAATCAAGAGCAAAATGAGGTAACACTTCATACACACTAGGATTGTTATAGTAGAAAGGAGGGGGCAGTAAGTGTTGGCAAGGATGAAGAGAAATTAGAACCCTCATACATTATTGATGGAAATGTAAAATGGTGCAGGTGCTTTGGAAAAATCACTTCACAGTTTCTCAAAAAGTTAAATGAAGAGTTACCATATGCTCCAGCAATTCTACTCCTCCATATATGTCTAAGAAATTGAAAACATATGGTCACACAAAAACTTGTACAAGATTGTTCATAGCAGTATTATTCGTAATGACCAAAAAGTAGAAACAACCCAAATGTCCATCAATGGATGAATGGATAAACAAAATGTAGTACATACACACAATGGAATATTACTCAGCCATAAAAAGGCACAGCCGGGAGCAGTGGCTCACGCCTATAATCCTAGCAACTTTGGGAGGCCGAAGAGGGCAGACTGCCTAAGCTCAGGAGTCTGAGACCAGCCTGGACAAACACGGTGCAAACCTGTCTTTACTAAAATACAAAAAATTAGCCAGGTGTGTGGGAGGCTCAGGCAGGAGAACTGCTTGAACCTGGGAAGCAGAGGTTGCTGTGAGCCAAGATTGCCCCACTGCACTCCAACCTGGGCAACAGAGCAAGACTCTGTCTCCAAAATAAAAAGGAATAAAGTACTGATCAATGCCATGAACCTTGTGCTAAATGAAAGTAGACAGACCCAAAGGACTACACATGCTATAAGATTCCATTTATGAAAAACGTTCAAAAAGGGCAATCCCTAAAGACAGAAAGTAGATTCGAGGTTGCCCAGGAATGGAGAAAGAAAGAATGAGGAGTGACTGCTAGGTGGTACAGAGGTTTTTCTTTTTTTTTTTTCTCCCTGTGGATGCAATGTTCTGAAATTAGCCAGGGGTGATGATTGTACAACCTTGTGAATATACTAAAACCCACTGCATTGTACATTTTAAAATGGTTAAAGTCATGATTTTTATATTATGCAAATTTTATCTCTATGAGTCTAACTGAAAAAGAGTGAATCACCTATAGGTGAGAGGAATATCAGGCTGGCCTCAGATTTCTACACAGTAACGGTTTCCCTTTCTAATTTTGAAAACTCAAATCTATAGAAAAACTGAAAGAAGAGTACAATAAATAACCATATACTCTTCACTGGTCTTATCTACCTAGATATGTGTGTGTTTATTTGTCTTTATGTAGCTGTTTTACCCTTCTTTCATTTAAAGTTTAAACTGAATGAAGATATCACTTCACTTTAACTTTCCTTCAATACGTTTCTCTTTTGAACAAGGACATTCTCCTACAAAACACAGTATTATCACATCCAAGAAATCGGATGCTCATACAAAAACATTACCTAACATACAGTCCATATTCAAATTTCCCCAATTGTTCCAACAATATCTGTTATGGTTTTTTTTTTTTTTTCCCCAAATACATGATCTAGTGAAAGATCATGCATTGCACTTAGTTATCAGGAGGCCTCTTTGGTCACCTTGAATATAAAACAGCTGGCCTATTTGTCTTTCATGATGTTAACATTTTTCTGAAAAGCTTTAAAGACAGTTTAGAATACCAATATTTAACTATGCTCTAATAATATAAACAATAAAAATTGACAGCTGCAATAAAGGGAGATGGGAAAAAGTATGGGACTGCTAATGTATTTGACTTTCATGGTAGGCAGTCAACTGTTACTGTCTACAGTTTAAGTATATATAGTTTTAAAGAAAATAATGATTCCAGCTGCCTAATATTTTTAATAACAATAAAAAGGTCTTTTAAGAAATATTATTTCTTAGGCTAGGCATAGTGGCTCAAAAAAAAAAAAAACCTTAAAAAAATATATATTATTTCTTAAGGTAAAGAATATTTTACTAGTTTATTTTTCAAATTAACTAATTACTATATATTTTTAAGTTTGTTTGTTTGAGACAGAATCTCACTCTGTCACCCAGGCTGGAGTGCAGTGGTGTGATCTCGGCTCGCTGCAACTTCTGTCTTATGGGTTTCAAGTGATTCTCCTGCCTTAGCCTCCCCAGAAGCTGAGATTAGAGGCATGTACCACCATGCCGGATAATTTTTGTATTTTTAGCAGAGATGGGGTTTCATCATATTGGCCAGGCTAGTCTTGAACTCCTGATCTCAGGTGATCCACCCACCCTGGCCTCCCAAAGAGCTGGGATTACAGGCGGAAGCCACCATGCCCATCTTGTATTTTAAAAATATACAAATGATAGTTTTTACTTGAATATTTAATTTTTTTTTTTTGAGACAGAGTCGCACTCTTATTGCCCAGGCTGGAGTACAATGGCGTGATCTCGGCTCACTGCAACCTCCACATCCCAGGTTCAAGTGATTCTCCTGCCCCAGCCTTCCAAGTAGCTGAGATTATAGGCATGTGCCACCACATACAGCTAATTTTTTGTATTTTTACTAGAGGTGGGGTTTCTTCATGTTGGTCAGGCTGGTCTCGAACTCCAGACCTCAGGTGATCCACCTGCCTCAGCCTCCCAAAGTCTCCAAAGTGCTGGGATTACAGGCGTGAGCCACTGTGCCCAGCCTATTTAAATTTTTCTTCAGGAAAAGATATAATGAAAATCAATGAAACACACCTGATTCATACAACTCTTCTTCCACTGATATCCCAACTTCTCACAAGTCTCTTTCAGGCATTGATAAGATTTGTCTGCATCCAATTTGGTAAAGAATCGTGTCATTCTTTTGACCAACCGCTGCCAGGGGTTCTATATATCAAACAGAAGACAACTAAATAAATCCATTATGACTAAAGACAGTAATATCATAGCCATTTAGTCTTAAAATTCTTTTGCATTAAGGCCTCCCTCCCCTTTCTTCTTTAACCAAAAAAATACATGTGATTTAAATGTTATATATCTTAAGATTTTCACAATAAAAAAGGACTTTAAGACAATAAAAAATAAAGAGCTGCCATTATTTATTTAAAAAATTAAATTCCCTCACCTGTGAAGATCCTGGGGTGCCAAGTAACTGACTATTCAGAAGCATATGATCAGGACATGTGGGCTGGGAAAAGCTGATCCCTTGTACCAATTTATCAATGTACGAGGGACTGGTATCCCATAAGGAAAGACCTGTGCGTGGTTCTGGCTGAGAACTGGAGTACTTCACATTTTCTTCACTGAGGCATTACAACAGAAGGAAATATACATTTAATAAAATAAAATCTATCATGCCTTTCTTATATCACACAAATGTTCTCACACAGTATTATGTCCATTAATGCTGATGATTATAAAAAAAATACATGTATATATTATTCTTCATGGGAATACTACAATCAACGACTTAATCAGTCTTACCTAGAAGCACTGTTTACTGGAGAGAAGTCCAAATTGGATTGAATGTGCTTAGAGAAGCCACTGGGAGACTCTGACATACCACCTGAAGTGACTCGGGGCCTTTTTGCCCCTAAAAAAGAAAAAAATACAAATGCTGTCAAGTCTTCTATGCAAATATGTTTTTAAATTAGCCCAACTGGTAACTTGAAGAAGTAAAACTCTGTCTAAATCTATTTACTTAACACAAAATATTTATAAGATATAAAACAAAGTCTTCCTATATGACTATATAAAAAATGTGGTCAAGTTATGAAATTACTAAGATTCACTTGTCAAATTAGGTATTTCACAATATCTAAGTATGACCTGTAGGCGTGTTCCAAGTGTGGAGTATGCTCAGGCCACAATCTTAATGGCATCTTTTGTGGGTAACAGAACAACGTTCCATGAAGACAACAGACCTGGCTAAAGGACTAGAACTTTTTAAAATAAAAAAAAAAAATTATGATAATAACAATAAATATTATGAATCTGTTCTAGCCAACATTCTTTGATTCCCTAGAAAAGCTTTACAATGAAGATTATACGTAAAATGACACCACTATAAATTTATGGTTACAATCCCTAGCCGAACCTCAATATTGCCAGATAATTCTATTTGTTTCTCTAGTTTCCTTTCCTTTTCTCCACAGGGATCATTTCAAAACTACACTTTTCTGTAATTTCCAAGACTACTGTCCAGCACCTTTACTACCACTTCCCATTTCAGAGAGAAAATAAAGCCACTAGACAGCAACTACATCAACTTGTCTGCAGCAAATCTGCTAAGTTACACGTATTACTATACATCCTTTCATTCCTTCCATTCTCCTATGGAATGTTCATCTCTCTACTCGTGCTCCAGAGCCCACACCCTTCCACCTCCTGAGGGATCTTGATCCTCCGTTATTTATTCCCTTTCTCTTAGACTTCAGCTTCTTCCTCTCTACAGGATCTGTACCCAAACCACTTAAACATGCTAAAATTTTTTTTAACCTGCTTTTTATTAATCCATTCATTCCAATATTTTATTAGATTTATTCTGTGCCAGGCATTATTCTAGGTATTAGGTATTCAGCAGTGAGCAAAACAGAAAAAAACCCTTGACCTCTTAAATCCTACATTCTATTGAGGAGAGACAAAATAACATAAAATAAATTCAAATAAAATTAAAAATCAATAAGCTAAATGGTGGTAAGTACAATGGAGGAAAATAAAATGAAGAAATGTGTTGGACTGCATATGTCCACGAGATAGTAAAAATTTTTAAAATTTAAGAAATGTATTAGAGAGAAGGGGATACAGTTTTAAATAGCATGGCCAGGAAAGGCTTATTGTAAAGGTGACACTGAAGTCAATATCCAAAGAAAATGAGAAGACAAGACATGCAAATAAGTCCCATGGGAAAAAGCATTTCCAGGCATAGGGAATATTCATTACAAACACAGTGAGGTAGAAGTGTGCCTAGAGAGGATTTAGAGAACAATGAGAAGACCACTATAGCTATAACCAAGGGGGAGCAAAGCAGAAGTGAGGTTGGAGAGGTAATTATGGACAAATTGGGTAAGAACTCACAGGTCATGAACTGATTTTAGCTTACACTATTGGTGAGAACTAAAGCATTGGAGGATTTGGGTAGAACAGTGAGATATTCTAATTTACTTTTAAATCAGAACATTCTGGAAAGATATAATAGTAGTTTGGAATGACAGGGTAGCAGTAGAGGTTAAAAAAAGGTAATCAGATTCTACAATTTTTTTTTAAGATAGAGGTTAACAATTACCTGGTGGACTGGATGTCAAGTAAAAGAGGATGAGAAAAATGAAGGATGACTCAAGGTTTCTGATCTGCATAACAATAATGCAGTTGCCGTTAATCAACATGGGCAAGACTTAGAAAAGGAATGGGTTTGAAAGGAAAAGATTAGTAACTCAGTTTGGAGCTCATCAAGTTTGAGATGCTTCTTAACATTCAAGCGAAATCTGAGAAGGCAGTTAAGACATTTAAGTTCGGAACTCAGAGGAAAGGTCTAGGTTGATATAAATGTGACTATCAACATATAGTTTTTTTTAGAGCCACGAAACCAAATAATATTACTAGGGGAGTGAGTGTGGAGAAAACAAAGGAGATCCATAGATTCAGCCCTGGAGAACTCCAGTATTAGGAGGCTGAGCAGATGAAAGGAAACCATCAAAAGAGACTGAAAAGGAGCAACCAGTGAGAAGGACAAAAATCAGAAGAATGTAATGCCTGGAAGCCAAATGAAGAAAGTGTTTAGAGGAGGAGGGCATGATCAACTGACGAGATAAAACAAGATGTCAGAGAACTGATTACAGTAGTCCCCCCTTATCCACAGAGGATATGTTCCAGTGGATGTCTGAAAGTACAAATGGTACCAAACCCTATATATGTTCTTTCGATCTAATAACCAAAATAGCTACTAAGAGTTACAAGCAGGTAGCACATAGAACATGAATACACTAGAAAAAGGAATGATTCACATCCCAGGTGAGATGAGGCAGGACAGCACAAGATTTTATCATGCTATTCAGAATAGCACACAATTTAAAATCTATGGTAGGGCACTGTGGCTCATGCCCATAATCCCAGCACTTTGGGAGACTGAGGTGGGTCGATTGCTTGAATGCAGGAGTTTGAGACTAGCCTGAGCAACATGGCGAGACCTCATCTCTACCAAAAATACAAAAATTAGCTGGGCATAATGGCTCACACCTGTAGTCCCAGCTACTCAGGAGGCTGAGATGGGAGGATCATTTAAGACCAGCAAGTAGAGGTTGAGTAAGCCAAGACCATGCCACTGCACTCCAGTCTGAGTGACAGAGCGAGACCCTGTCTCAAATTAAATAAATAAAATCAATCTATGAATTATTTACTTCTGGAATTTTTCATTTAATCTTTTCAGACCTCAGGTGACCACAGGTAAGGGTGGACTATTACACTGAACTTGGCAACATGTTCCAAAAATCATTGTGACTTGGTAACAAAAATTGAAAACTAGTTGAAGTATTAGAAATGAGAAGCAATTTTAGAAATGTTCAATTGTGAAGAAAATGGACTGGTAGAGAAAAGAGGGGTTAAGAGAAATTTTATTAGCATTATGATTTGATTTTAAAATGGGAGAAAAAGCATGTAGGTATGCTGATGAGAAAGATCCAATAGAGAAGAAAAAATTAATAACATGGGAGACAGAAAAATTGCTAGACAAAGTCCTTGAGCAGGTAAGAGAAAAACCTGGCTTAACACCTGTAGCAATTTATCCACAGCAATATAGGATGAAGGAGAATATTATGAGCTTAGAGGCAGTTAGTTAGGGGGAGATGGTGGTGGGAGCTTGCATAAGTTCTCCTGCGGCTGCTTCTATTTCCCAGTGATATAGGAAGCACAGTGAACAACTGAGAGAGAGAGAATGGGGAAGGAGATAATAAAAGTTAAGGGGCCAGGCGCGGTGGCTCACACCTATAAACCCAGTACTTTGAGAGGCTGAGGCTGAGAACAGCCTGGCCAGCATGGCCCAGCTACTCAGACGGCTAAGGCACAAGAATCACTTGAACTGAGAGGCGGAGGTTGAAGTGAGCCGAGATGGTGCCACTGTACTACGGCCTGGATGAATGCAAATCCCCGTCTTAAAAAAAAAAAAAGAGGGGAATTAAGGTGATTTAAGACAACAGGATAGTGAAAGACATGGGGAAATGAAGCCCAAATGCCAGGCAGCATTCAGGGCTCTCTTGAGATTGGAAATCCTGAATTTAAAGTGAATGTTTTTGGGTATTTTTCTCCTGCTGCAATCCGTTATGCAGATACAAGTGTGGAGTAAATAGAAAACTACTAGATTGAACCCAGAAACTACTTACTGGGTTTTACCCACTAAGTATGATGAAGAGACAAGGGGACAAGGAAGTTGAAGATGATGAATACAAAGCAGTCATTTATAATGGCTAACCTAAAGATTTAAGATAGGTAAAGACAGAATCAAGGACCTAGAGAGGGAGCAGGTAAGAGACTTAAGAGATAGAATTAATTAACTGCAAGTCCAGCTAGAGTCAAAGGATTGTTGAAGTCAGAATATTAAGGGAGGAGGTCCGAAAAAAATCATATGGTGATCAGTGCAGAGTGTTCAAAGACAATAACACTACAGGAGAGAAGGTCAAGTCACAGTGAAGTCACGATATCAGAATGATCCAAATAAATTTTTAAATATCCAAGAATCATGACAAAAATTACATCAAGAGTCATGTCTGCCGTGATAGTATGGCAGATGTTTTAATTTAAGGTTCAAAAGTTAGAAGGGAGAGAGATACAGGAAGATGGGAGAAAGTGACAATGAAGAATAAGGAGGACACCTGTGCCATGTCCAGATCAAAAGACATGAGGGTATGGGAAAGAAAACACCTACCACTTCAGAGGAAGCTGTATCTTTAGGGGACAATTGGACTTTAACTTAGAACAAGGAGAAAGAAAAATGCAGAGAAGTATTAAAGAGAGTTAATGTTTAAACATTAACTCTTTTCTGTCCATGAGGACAGAGTTAAAACATTAATTCTTTAATAACTCTCAGAATGTTTCTCATTCATCATCTCTAGTCATTGTCCTCTTTCCTCCCATTCACAGCCTAACAGTCCTATCAATACTAGTTTTTAAATTTCTTTGGAATCATCTCATTTCTGCAATACCGTTGCCCTAACCTACTCCAAGCCACCATCTTCCTGTATCTAGACAACTAGCAAAAGGCCCTGAATCTTCCCCTATTCATAAAAAACAATGGAAGAAAAAAGTAGAAGTCAGAGAGATGTTTTAAAACCAAAGACATGACTATGTCATATTCTTGCTTAAAATCTCTCAAAGGTCTCTCCCCAATGGTCCGAAGTTAAAGCCCAAAGTATGGTTTTAAGTTAAAGCCCAAAATCTTTAACATAGCTTACAAGGTGTTCTTCCACAAACTGGCCACTAGCCACCTCTCTGGCCTCATCTCAAACCTCTCTTCGTCTCCCACTTCCCTGTTTACTCAATTCACTCAATAAATATTTAATGAGTGTCTATGGCACACCACCTACTGTGCTAAGCACTGGTGATATAGTGATAAACACAACAGACATGGCTTGTGCCATACTGATCTTTCGAGTTACTCAAATGCACCAGACTTTCTAAAACCAAAGATTTTTCAAATACTGCTTCCTCTGTTCAGAATTAAATCTGCCACTTACCTTGCCTGGCTAGCTTCCCTTTAATCTTCCAATCTTAGATTTAATGTCATTTCTTCAGGAATAAAATTCTTCCCTGTCCCTTATGACTTGGTCAAACATTTAGCTATAGTACCCTGACTTTCTCCTTTATAATTATTAATAAAATTATTTTTATATGTCTTTTCCTAATATCCATGAGGACAGAGACCATATCTATCTTGTGTTGTTGACTTGTGACAGTGACTTTGCAATTACCTTTTCTTCCACAGAAAAATAAACAAACTTGTAGTTTAAGGATATTACCTTTCTTGAGGAGTTTGTTATACCATCTATCTTTTTTGATGTCTGGAATGGTAATTCTTGCTGATGGATTCTCAACTAGGATTTTATGCAGCAGAGCTAAAAACAAACATTAAGACAACATTCACGAAAACAGTCACAGAGATTAGAGAAGCCTATGGCTTGTGGTAAGAAACACATTTTCTGTTGGCTTACTTACTAAATATTATTTCTGGGGAAGATAAATAATTAAAGCTACTAAATTACGGCTTTAATTTCATGCAGTTGTCTGTGTCTTGTAATAGTTTTCACCGATCTGATTCTCAGTTGTTTGCCACTGAGAACAAGAGCCAGATGGAAATGTTTCTCCTCATGTGACAAGATTAACAAAAAGATACAGAAACCCCTCTTATCCATTTTCAATACCGAATTTCATTACTTCAATGTCATGTTCTCATATGACCTTATTCACAGTTTTATAAATAACATTTATTTACCAATAACTTTTTAAGAGACAGTAATCTAACTAACCATCCTAAGGTATCTTGATTTTCTTGAGAAAAAATTCATATAGCTCTCTATATCAAAATTATTTCCTAATGGACCAAAGATTTAAATGTAAAAATGAAGCCATAAAAACACTAAATGAAAACACAGGGAACTTTTAAATACCAGAGGTAGAAGACCAGTGATAATATAGTCAGAGACCATAAAGGACAAGATGATAGCTTTGAATGTCAATATAGCAAAACAAAATGAAAATCAAAGATAAACTGTGAAAAATATTTGTAACAAATGCAAAAGTCAATATGTTAAAAAAAAAAAAAAAAAAAAGAAAGAAAACTTCAAAGTGTTAAGAAAAAAATAATATCCTTGACAAAAATGAGCAAAATAGACAAAAAACTAATACATACATAAAGGGTACACAACTTCATTAATATTACATTTAAAATAAAAAGCTATCATTTTAGGCCTATTAGTTTTTTTTCTTAATGTAAACTGATGAGACTGTGATAAAATGGTTTGAACTTTCAGGAAGCAGTTTGACAATATAAGCCATAATAATAAAAACTACATCCTAGAGCCTGCAATTTTGCTTCTGGGGATTTCAGTAAACAATTTAAGGGTATGTACCATGATTAAGTTACAGAGATACTTATCCTATCTCTTTTAGATCTATGAAGATTAGAAAAATCTCCAACAAAGTGATTAGAAGAATATAGTAAGGCATATCCACGAGGCAGAATATCATCACAGCCTTTAAAACAATGATGTAGACCTACAATTATTGTCATGGAAAAATGTTCACAGAGCATTAAAACCAAAAACGTTTACAAATTAGTGTGATCTCATTTTGTATACACATATAAATAGTATACATATATTCATTATACATAGTCATAGGCCACATTTATGATGTTTCAGTGAAGAATGTACCACATGTTTAACAGTCCCACTAGATTATAATACTGTATTTTTACTATACTTTTTCTATGTTTAGATACACAAATACCATTATGTTACAATTCCTTACAGTACTTAGTATAGTAACATGCTGTACAGGTTTGTAGCCTGGGATCAATAGGCTGTACCATTATACCTTAGATTTATGGTAAGCTATACTATCTAGGTTTATGTAAGTATACTCTACGATGTTCACACAATGATGAAATCACCTAATGACACATTTGTTAGAGTGCACCCTGTAATTAGGCAACAAATGAATGTATTTGCAACAAAATATAGCACATATCAAAACTTTTTTATTTTTAAATAGAAAACCACCTAAAAGCATAGATTCAAGTTGCTCTGAATATACACTCCCCAAAATATTTTTTTAAATCTATTGCAGAGTTCTGGGACTAAAGAGTTATTTTTTCCTTAATTTTTATTTATAATTAATAATTTATAAAAATCATGACATAAATATAAAAGAAAAAAACGTAAGAAAAAATTCAAACAGCATTAGACTTTATATCCAAAAAATCAATACTCTTTCACTCAAGATAATCCAGTTACCTAGAGGAGCAGAATCGAGTTTTTTCCAAGGGTTGAGGTATGTTTTTTTTTCTTTCCAGTCAGAATATTCCTGACAGCTGTCACTGGGTTGGTCCCATGGCAATTCTAAAAACAAAGCAAGTTAATTTTTTTGAATGTTCTCATTTATAAAGATTTCAAGGAAAAATAATAATATAAATCCATGAAAAGTTCCTTTGAATTAATTCAATATGGTTTTCAAACTAAGAATCCCAACTTGGAAAGTTTAGAGATACTTCAAAGATAGATGAATCAGGACAGGCATGGTAGCTCAGGACTATAATTCCAGCACTTTGGGAGGCTGAGGCAGATGGATTGCTTGAGCCCAGGAGTTTGAGATCAGCCTGGGAAACATAGTGAGACCCCATCTCTACAAAAAATAAACAAAATTAGCTTGGTGTGATGGTGTGCATCTGTAGTCCTGGCTCCTCAGGTGGCTAAGACGGGAGGATCACTTGAACCTGAGAGATCAAAACTCATACCACTGCACTGCAGCCTAGGCAACAGAGCAAGACTTTGTCTCAAAAAAATAAAATAAAAAAATACATGAATCACTTCTTGCCCTACTCTTGTTTTCAAAAGTGTTTACATGATTCATAGAAAAGTATTGTGATATTTAGTAAGTATGCATGGCTAATCTTAAAAAATTTTGGAATTATAAATAAGTTATTACTTGCAATGTACTAAACATTTGTGTCCCCCTCAAAAGTCATGTTGAAATCCTAACTCACAATGTAATGGCATTTGGAGGTGGGGCCTTTGAGTGGTGATTAGGTCCTGAGGATGGTAACCCTCAAAAAATGGTATTAGTGCCCTTATTAAGACCTTATTAGTATCCAATAAAGGCTCATGTGTCCAGCCAATATTGTGTTTTTATAGGGTACTAATTATATAATTCCAGCACTTTGGGAGGTCAAGGTAGGCAGATCACTTGAGTCCAGGAGTTTAAGACCAGCCTGGGTAACATGGGAAGACTGTCTCTAAAAGAACACAAAAAATTAGCCAGGTGTGGTGGTGCACGCCTGCAGTCCTAAATACTCAGGGGACTGAGGTAGGAAGATTGCTTGAGCTTGGGAGGTCAAGGCTGCAGTGAGCCTTGAATTGTGCCACTGCACTCTAGCATGGGCAACAGAGTGAGATCCTGTCTCCCAAAAAAAAAAAAAAAAAAAAAACTCAGACACAATGTCTCACAAGATCTGATCAACACACACACACACACAGCCCACCGCCCCCAACACAGTACTTTGGGAGGCTGAGGTGAGCAGATCACTTGAGGTCAGGAGTTTGAGACCAGTCTGGCCAACAACATGGTGAAACTCTGTCTATACTCAAAATACAAAAATTAGCTGGGCATGATGGCACTTGCCTGAAATCCCAGCCGGGAGGCTGGGGCAGGAGGATCGCCAGACCCAGGAGGCAGAGGTTGCAATGAGCTGAGATCACACTACTGCACTCCAACCTGCGTGACAGAGCAAGACTCTGGTCTCAAAATAATAATAATAATAATAATAATAATAATAATAATAATAATAATAGCAGGCTTGCTTCAGCTCTGTTGGCTGCCCACCATGTGAGCATACAGCAGGACAGCCATCTGCAAATCAGGAAGAGGACCCTTACTGAAACATGACCAGGCTGGTACCCCTAATATCATACTTTCAGTCTCCAGAACTGTGAGAAATAAATTTGATGTTTATAAGGTATGTAGTCTATGATACTTTGTTACAGCAGCACAAACTGATCAAGACACTATTAAAATACTCCTACAGAAGCTGAGTGTCATGGCTCACGCCTTTACTCCTAAGCTTGGGAGGTGAAGACAGAAGGCTTGCTTGAGGCCAGGTGTTTAAGGTCAGCCTAGACAACACAGCAAGACCCTAACTCTACAAAAAATTTTTAAAACTTAGCCAGACATCTTGTGGCAGGCACCTGTGGTCCTAGCTACTTAAAATAGTGAGGCCAGAGGACTGGTGAGCCCAGAAGCTTGAGGCTGCAATGAATTATAATAGCTCACTGTATGCTGGTTTGGGGAACAGAGTGAGACCCTCTCTCTTAAAAAAGAAAACAAAGAACTATTATACAAATATGAATTCCTTGGTTTATTTCATTTATTTCAGAATAACTAATGTGACTTTTCATAGGATAGGAGTTTTACCATGATTAAACAGCTCTTACCTCCAGCGAGCATTGCAGTAAGTACTATTCCACAGGACCAAACATCAACTGGTTCTGCATGAAATTCTCTTCTCTTCAGAAGTTCTGGAGCAACATATGGTAAAGTACCACACATCTTGTTCAACAAACGCTCACGATTATTATACCGAAACACTGTTGCCAGGCCAAAGTCTGAGATTTTGAGGTTATCTAAACCAAAAGAAAAAATGATGGCACTGAATAAAAACGTTTTGCAAATAGATATACTTGCAGGAATAAGTTTTATTGAGAAAAAATCACTAATGTTACTTAAAGTTTGTAGAACTTCAAATAAGCAAAATAAACACGAAGAAATCTAAAAAAATAAAATATATCATCATCTATGTCAAAAGTAGGAAAAGGCCTCATCTCTTCTATTAACTTAAAAGTATCATCAACATGCAAAACAGTCCGGAACAGATTAAAGCAAGAAGGTGGAGTCAGAGGGGCTGCCCTTCTGGAAAAGAGCACTTTAAACTCGAGCTGAAAGCAAAGCAAAGCCCTTCATCAGGTAGGGTGGAGAGCAGGAAGGTAACCTCAGTAATATGTTAGGCACAATTTTCTCAGCAGCAAACAAACCCAGTTAGCAGAAGAAAATATCTGAAGACCAACCAAAATTCAACAAACCACAATACTTTTTTTTTCTTCAAAGTAGGGAGTCTGACAAAAAGAGGAAAAACTCTGTACAAAAAAAAAAAAAAAAAAAATCAGAAAGCCAAACCTCCACCCTAACTTCCCATCTTTAATACACACAAACTGCAGGCAGGACTTAACTTATATTTAGTGAATATCTACTGCAACTTAGTGATAGATACTATGCCAGCCAATGCAGGTAGAAGATAAATCAGTAAAGACTGACAATAGAAAACTGTTATGAAGATTATAAAAATATAGAGCACCACAGGATCTTAAAGCAAAGCACTACAGAATGTAACCCAGTCTTAAGAGTTAGAAAAAGCCCTCTATTCTCAGAAGGCATTTTGGTAAAACATACTAAAATGTGAAATATTCACTCTTTGAACTAGCAATTCCCACTTCTATATCCATAGGAATAATCCCACAAATTCAAAAACAAGAATATTCATAGTAATATTTGTAAATAAATGATTAAATCTTATAATACATTGTACAATGGAAAACGTGGAGGTAGGTTTTGAAAAAAATAAGGTATATCTATACATACTGACATGAAATACTATACAAGTAGGACAAAAAGGCTAATGGCATGAAAAATAGTATAGGATGACCCAATTTTTATATTGGCCCTTTACATAAATATATAAAAGTCGTCACTGTATAAAAGTCCTATTTTAAAGTTATAAACAAATTAAATGTCTCAAAATAGGGGACTGATTCTTTAAAAATCACGTACATTCACACAACGTGTAAACCATTGAAATGTTTACCACTATCTGACTTAGGAGGTAGCTAATGTGATTATCTTTTTCTTTTCTTTTTTTTTTTTGAGAATGGCCTCACTCTGTTGCCAAGGCTGGAGTGTAGTGGTGTGATCATGGCTTACTGCAGCCTTGACCTCCTAGGTTGAAGTAATCAATCCTCCTGCTTCAGCCTCTCCAGTGGCTGGGACTCCAGGTATGCACCACCATGCCTAGCTAATGTTTTCTTTAATTTTTCATAAAGACAGGGTCTATATTGTCCAGGCTGATCTCAAACTCCTAGGACCAAGCCATCTTCCCGCCTCAGCCTCGTGAAGTGTTGGGATTACAGTCATGGGCTACCACACCCAGCTGATTATCTTTTTAATAGCTATTTATGACACTATCTGGACAAACCACCAAGATTGAGTTCCAAATTACTTATGACTAGTAACCACTTAAAATACTAATAGATAACTGTTAATATTCCTTGGACTTTGTTATGTCTGCAACATAATAGTTATGTTAGAGAACTGCACATAATAAAAGTTAAATTTAGAAATGTGATTAGCTCTTAGAAAAAGAAAGAAAACACATATTTGTGATGAAATAAACAGGAGGGTTGATACAAGTCTATTTACATTTCATTATAATATTTTATCTAAGAATTTTTGTGTACCTGAATTTTTAAAGTTTTAAATAAACAGAAGGATGTTAAACACTGGTAACATTTTATTTCTTTTTTAAAAAGATTACTAAATACTAAATAGAAACAAAATATTAATTATATCTTGTATGTTAATACAAGATCTAAAAAATAACAATGTAATAAACACCCACTCACTTTAGTAAAACAATGTTCTATGTCCTTTGAAATCTGTAAATACTTCCTTAAATACACTCCCTCCTCCACCTTCTTAGAGGTAACCACTATTCTCAAAATTTGGTTTTATTATGCCCTTGCTTTTCTGTGTGATTTTTCTTCTCCAGGTTTACATCCCTGAACAGTATACTAGGTTTACATATTTTTGAACTATGTATAAATAGAATCAGACATATTAACTCTTCTGCAACTGTCCCTTTATGCTCTATATCATTATATACCTGAAATTCATCCATGTCACTGCTTATAGGTATAAGCCATCCATTTCATAATTTACTGATAGACATTTGGGTTATTTACAGTTTTCTCCTGTATTAAAACCACCACCACTATGAGCATTCTTATACATGAATAATTTCTATTTTTAAACCAGGTGGGTTGATACATGTCTATTTACATTTCTTTATATTATATATAATTTTTGTGTACCTGCATTTCTAAAGTTTTAAATAAAAATAAAGATTTTTTTTTTTTTTGAGACGGAGTCTTGCTCTGTCACCAAGGCTGGAGTGCAGTGGCGCAATCTCTGCTCATTGCAACCTCCATCTCCCGAGTTCAAGCGATGCTCCTGCCTCAGCCTCCTGAGTGGCTAGGACTACAGGCGTGCACTACCACGCCCAACTGATTATTGCATTTTTAGTAGAGACGGGGTTTCACCATGTTGGTCAGGCTTGTCTCAAACTTCTGACCTCAAGATCCGCCCATCTCAGCCTCCCAAAGTGCTGGAATTACAGGCGTGAGCTACCATGCTTGGCAAAAATAAGTATTTTTATGTTATATAAACTCAATTTAAAGGGGTGAAAAGTAAAATCCACATGCACATAAGAAAAAAGGCTGGGTGCGGTGGCTCACGTCTATAATCCCAGCACTTTGGGAGGCCAAGTCAGGCAGATCACTTGAGGCTAGGAGCTCGAGATCAGCCTGGCCAATATGACAAAACCCTGTCTCTACTAAAAATATAAAAATCAGCTGGGTATGGTGGCTCGGGCTTGTAAACCCAGCCATTCAGGTGGCTAAGGCACGAGAATCACCTGAACCACAGAGGGAGAGGTTGCAGTGAGCCGAGATCATACCACTACACTCCAACCTGGGCAACAGAGCAAGATTCTGTTTCCAAAAAAAAAAAGCTGACCATTTGTCAAGCACTATTCTAATACTAAGAATAAAGCATTAAACCAGGCAAAGACTACTGCCTCATAGTTGACATTTCTGTTTTGATTCTGACCCTGTAAGCTAAAGCTTTCACTATCCATCCTTGTAAATTTGATGGCATCCATAAAATATAACTAAATGTCTTACATATTTATCCAAGTCATATGTAAAAAGAATAAACAGGACAAGACTAAGGTCCACGGTATTCCACAGGAACTTCCCTTTATTAATCCATTGAAGAATTATTTTAAACTGTTCTTGGCCAGGCACGATGGTACACACCTATAACGTCAACACTTTGGGAGGCTAAGGCCAGTAAATAGCTTGAGTCCAGGAGTTCAAGATTAGCCTGGGCAACAAAGGAAGATCCCTATCTCTACAAAAAATTAAAAATTAGCCAGGTATGGTGGCACCTGCCTGTGGTTGGTCCTAGCTACTCGGGAAGCTGAAGTGGTAGGATCACTTGAGCCTGGGACATCAAGGCTGCAGTGAGCCAGGATCATAGAGTGCATTCCAGACTGGGCGACAGAGTGAGACCCTTATATTCTTATACATAAAGTGAGCTAGCCTTGTACCTAGGTCAGATTTCTCTACCTTATCTGCAATTGTATTGCATAATGAGACTTGTGATTTCCAAATATACTAAGTCTCCAAAATTTCCTTGATTTTTTCAGATTTTGTCTTGAAATTCCAGTAATGCAAAAGACTTGATTTTACTTGTATAATAAAATAATTTAGGTATCAGTGACAAAATGCTAAACTTACCCCTTTCATCCAATAGAAGATTTTCTGGTTTAATATCCCTGTGAGTTATTCCAATACCATGCAGATAAACCTAAGAGGGAGGCAGAAAGAAACACACCAGAATTTGGTAATGTAATTTATTCTTACTAATTTTAAGTAAAAGGGAAAGAGACAACTATACCTACCACCCCTGCCATGAGTTGATGGAAGAACCTCTGAGCATCTTGTTCAGGCATGCCTATGTCTGGCTCTAAAACAATTATGAAAGTTAGTTTACTGAATAAATATAATCAGGTAGTAACCATATAGCTTCTTAATTTGAAGCTTGGACATTATGAATATACTTAAGCAAACAGAATCAAATGCCAACAAAAAATTCAGGAGTCCACTAACAGATACAGGGTTTAACTCACACATTCACCTGTTAGATGGCAAAACTAATATCACAGGAAAAATATAAAGAGAAAACCAACATCCAGATCAAGAATGTAAGCCATGCCTTAAAAGCCCCTCTTCTAAAGCCCCTGCTTCCTCTTATACTAACACTGATTTATTTAGTATCCTTCAGATTCTCCCCATTTTCTTCTAAATGCTATGCTAATATTTTTTTCATTCCTAAAATACGCCAAGGGAGAAGTCTGGGCAAATCTAAGCCAATTTCACTAAATATTTTACACATTATACTCTTCCTCCTTTGGCTTCCAAAATTAGTTTTTTTTTTTTTTAAGAGATAAGGTCTCGCTCTTTCACCCAGGCTGGAGTGCCCTGGTGTCAGATCATAACTCACTGTAACCTGGAACTCTGGAGCTCAAGCAATCCTGCCTCAGCCTCCTCAGTAGCTAGGATTACAGGCATGTACCACCACACCTGGCTCAGATTTAAACATCATATAGTCTCACACTACAAAGCCACTAATGCCTGTGAAGTCCTTCATAAAACACAGTTTTATTATAAAAGTTCTTTTATCAGTTTTTTATACTTTGATCTCTCTCATTAACTCCATTTTCTTTTACCCTCAATTCTCTCCTGAGTCACGCTGGAGATCCTGTTACCTGTATCAGTTTTTAATTGTTAATACAATAGCTTTAAATTATAAATTTAGATCCAGAGATTTATTTTATGTACTTCTCAGTGTTCTGTAATATCAATCCTTTGATTCTACATAAAGTATTAATAGCAAACACAGAATTTACCTAATATACAAAAAGCAATCCTAGAAAATTCTCAATTATTTCATGTAAACCAGAAGGAAACAACATGCTATGATTTTAGATCTGTAAATACATTCAATGATTTCATGTAACTAGAATATCTACAAAGAAAAAAATTGTATAGGCAATACATTGCATTCAGGATACAGTGCATTTATGATGTACCATAAAACTACAGTTTGTCACTTTTAAATTGTTTAAGACACCAATCTTAATCAAAATCACTTAAATAACTTGGGAAAGGAATTTTCTTTCATTGACTCTACATACGCTTTTATTATTAATACCAGTTTGAAAAATTCTTTAAAGATAATTTATTCCAATTTCACTGTTGCATGAGCAATTCTGAAAGGACAATGACCTAATAGCATACCCAAGATTTAAAAAACAAATTTAAAAACTTGTTAAGAATAATTATCTTAAATTTTTTTTCCATACCTATTCTGTCAAAAAGCTCTCCTCCACTACAGTACTCCAGAAACAAGTACTGGATATTGCCTTCTCTCCGGTGACCATAGAATTTTACAACATTTTCGTGATTTAGCATTTTATTGATACAGATCTCTTTCTTAATATTTTCCGGACAGTCTACGGCACGCTTCATATCTACAATCTTCACTGCGACTGCTTCTTCAGTTATTCTATTCACAGCAAGTTGAACTCTAAAAAGGAAAAGAGTTTTAACATTACAGAATTCCATTTCTTCTAAAACTTCCAAAGGTTATACATGACCCATCTAAAACTATTTTACCTTTATTAATTTATCCACAAGGGAGAAACCAAGGAAACGGTTTCTGCTATGTTTGCAAGATACTACTCCTTTTTGAAATGTGAAATACAATAGCTAACACTCCAAAGATGTCCTTATGCTGTCACACAAGTCATTTAATAAATACTTCATAAAATAGATTGAGGTAATTCTAAGGCACATCACATATATACATGTTCTACTCATATACTTTTAAGCATATTAATCCCATACTATATGTGCCTGTGTAATTGACTATCCTAAGCATCTCTGGGGTAGATACCATTATTGCCATCCTAAAGATGGTAAAGGATAAGTACACAGTGACATTAGAAAGCTTGCCTAAGATCACAAAACAACGACCAGTTTGTGATAGAGCAAGGATCTGAAACCAAGCAGGCAATCTCCGGAGTCTGCTCATTTGCTCAATTAACCACAAAGCTTAAATCCTGAGAAACAATTTGTGGGCACGGAAATAATAACTTCGTGTCCCTTCCAGCTCTTTACAAAGAAAACTTTTTTTTTTTTTTTAAAAAGGGAAGAAAAAATATTAATCCTAGCAAAACACTGTGTAACTATAGTCGCCAAAAGCCTTGGATCTCAAACATCTACTCACCAAGTCACCAGAGTATTAGATTCCAAAACAGTGAATATGCAGACAGAAAACAAAGGCAAGGTAAAAGAACTCAAACTCACTCTCCATAAGCACCTTCTCCCAGGGTTTGCACCAAGTCCCAGTCTTCTACAAAGGGCACTGCCATGACTCCACGGAGCACCTCGGCTGTAAAAGGCAGGAATCCAGAAAAGATGGAAGGCCAGCATAAAATCACCTGTGAAGCCACTGCGCCCCGCCTCTCCCCAGGATTCCCCACAAGCAATAACAGCTCTTGCCTTCCCCTTATATCTCATCCACATTTAACCAAGTCTTTCAACCACGAGCAACTATTCTAAACGTGGGCATCTTGTCGTGTAAATCACAATCGCTATTCATGCCACGCACACCGAAGGCTGAAATCCTGCCCTCCTCAAGCCTAGAGGAAATTAACCGTTGTGGTGAAGAGGTGGTGGACAAATGCTTTCTGGTGAACGACTGGGGAAAGAGGTAGGAGAGGTGGGGGTCTGCGGAAGACAGTAAGGGGATATAGAGGGCGGAACCGGGCAGAAGACGCCGCGGTAGCGCCTCCACCCAATTGCTCAGTTCCAATTCCCATCCCCATCCACACCCGACCCGTCCCAGAAGCCGGGGCGGGGCCAAACTGCCTCGAGAGAAGGAAGAAACGCTGGGACCCGGAAGGACCGCGCCTAAACTCCAGGGGTTCCTAGCCAGCAGCGGGTTAGTCCCTTCTCCCCCCCCACTCCCCGCACCCCGACAACGGGAACTTCCTGGTACCACATTTCTCCACTCTCCGAAACCGCCCCTCCGCAGGAGTTTCTCCAATCCCCTGCGCTAGTCAATGCTAACTTTCACCCACCTTGCCCGTCTCACTAATCTAGACCCCGAACTCCCTCTTTAGAATCTTTTCCTACCCTACCGGCCGCTCTTCGTCACCGAGCTGTCCTTTGCCCACCACTGCAGGAATCCAAATACAGCGCTTTTCCCGCCAAAACTTGCTGCCGCAAACGCGCGCACCCGTGCCGTAAAGCAGGACAGCGCGCGTTAGCGTGTCCCGCCCCTCTGAGGATCGGCTGCTCTAAAAGACTGACGGTGAGAGGTTGCCGCTCCCGCCCAGGGTTGCTTTGCAGTCGGGGAGAGATCCTGGCTGAAGAGATTTAAGGACGGCGGACCGCATCGGCGCGAATTGAGCTCTGGGCCCAAATATGAAGTGGCATCCGGTGTGTACGGCTTGGCTGGGCTATGCTCGTGCACTGCTGGGCGGAGCCGAGGCCTCCACGCCGAGGGTGCGCGCGACCGACCGCGCTGCGCTTCCAGGCCGGCTGCGGGCATCGCTCCTGGCCGCACTGGACTTGAAAGGCTGCACCGCCACCTGCTTGAGGTCACCAGCCTGCGACAGGACTGTGAAGGGCACAGTCAGTGGGTGCTGCAGAGTGCTTTGTAAACTTCAGCGTGCAGCACCCGTGGTGTTGGAGCCGAGAAACTAGCAGCAGCTGCTGCGAGCTGTGAAGAATGAGAGGAACTCCGTCTAGGGAGCGAGAGGCATCGAAATGACTGGACACACATCGTGTGTGTGGCGTGGGAAGTTTCCCAGAGAAAGAAAGCAGTTTATTTTGGAACTTGAGGTAAAGTCAGGATAACCGATTTTGCTTTTTTTCTGTGAACCGGCTCCAAAACTAAAGTTCAGCCCAACTTTTTGGAGGAAGACCATCTGCTTAGCTTAGTTCTACAGACTTTCATTTTTACAGGCGGGGGGAGCCAAAGTAAATTTTACAATGCAAATTTAAAAGCGGCGTACAGCAAAGTCAATTCTGAGGAAACAGACTCGAGAACAAAATAGGAAAAACTGAAACTATAGGTATTCTCTGACCGTAAACTAGACTGGAGCTCAAGGCATAGGCGAGATCATCTCCATACATTCTCCAGTACTGGCCGGGCGCAGTGGCTTGTGCCTGTGATTCCAGCACTTTGGGAAGGCAAGGCAGGAGAATGGCTTGAAGCCAGGAGTTCAAGACCAACCTGGCCAACATAGTGAAACCTCCTCTACTAAAAATACAAAAAACTCGCTGGACATGTTGGTGCACACCTGTAATCCAGCTACTCGGAAGGGTGAGGCAGGAGAACTGCTTGAACCCGGGAGGCAGAGGTTGCCAACGATAAGCCGAGATGGCGCCATTGCACTCAGCCTCGGCAACAAGAGCAAAACTTAGTCTCAAAAAAAAAAAAAAAAAATTAGGAATTAGTTGGGCTTGGTGGTGCGTCCCTGTAGCCCTAGCTACTTGAGAGGCTGAGGAGTTTCTGTCAGGGAGTTAGACGTTAGTGAGCTATGATGGTACTATTGCACTCCAGCCTAGGCAACAGCATGATTCTGTAGGAAAAAAATACGTATATATATGTATGTGTGTGTGTGTGTGTGTGTGTGTGTGTGTATGTGTATATATATATATATATATATAAAGTCCTTAAGACTGGGCCGCATACAGGCACTCAGCATAACTATTGTGATAACAGTAACAAAGTAAAACAAGTATAAAATGTTACTCAAGGCCAGGCACGGTAGCTCACACTGTAATCCCAGCACTTTGGGAGGCTGAGGTGGGTGGATCACCTGAGGTCAGGAGTTCAAGACCAGGCTGGCCAACATGGCGAAACCCCGTCTCTGGTAAAAATACAAAAATTACCTGGGCATGATGGCGGGTGCCTGTAATTGCAGCTACCAAGCAGGTGGAGGTTGCAGTGAGCCTAGATGTAGCCACTGCACTCCAGCCTGGGTGACAGAGCAAGACTCTGTCTCAAAAACAAAACATTTCTTTTAAAGAAGCAAAGTCAAGAACAAAAATCAAGGAAAAAATTATTAAAATGCTTATGTGTATAGTTTTGAATCATGACATCACAGATTAGGCTTCATATAATTTTTTTAAAGTTTGTTGTTTTTGGAAACGGTGTATTGCTGTCACCCAGGCTGGAGTGCAATTGGGCAGTCTTAGCTCAATTGCAGTCCTGAACTCCAGGGCTGAAGTGATCCTCCTACCTCAGCATCTCAAGTCGCTGGGATTATAGAAGTCAGTCACAGGGCCTGGTATAACAATAAAAATAGAAGATAGTTTTAAAATCATTTATCCCATTTTCTCTTGTTTCCTCACTGTGTGCTGAAAACAAAGAATATGAAAAAGAGGAAGACCTGCAAAATTCCTGTGTCTTATGGAGTCTTTTTAGCCTGAAAAAAAAACAAAAAAACAAAGATTTGCAGATTCCAGCAGATTACCAGTTAAAGAGAGAATATATGGAAATAGCCTCTATTCCCTTCTGAAAGCTTACTAAAATATTTTTATAGTAAAGGATACCAATATTTAAAAGAACCCATGAGAACAAAGTATGAGGCACAACATTTTGGAAAGTAGAAAGCCTTTAGATGAAAGGTAATGAAGATGAATCCCAAAACTAGCAATAGAAAGCAGAATTAACATCACAGAACTCTCAAAAAGCTCAAGTTGAACTGGTGACACCAGGTAACTGAAGGTGGAGGTAAGAATGGGACTAAAAGGGATAGGTTTAAAGACAGCATAAAAAGCAAATAGATCCCTGTAGCCTTTTCCTTTCTATGTAACCAAGAAACTGTCCCTCCCCAAAGCTGGTACAAAATATAAGAGGATAATTGCGTAGTATGTGAACTGGAGATCATTAGGCACAATTAAAAGCTTGGGCACCTTACTGAAAACGGAGGGATTAAGTTTTATCCACTGAAAGTTGAGCCTGTAAAACTTCTTTCCCTCCTCTACAGTTAGTTGATTGCCTGGCTTACATCCTTGAGTAAGAGAATATACAAGCCTTCTCAAGGGAATCTTACCTATGTAAAAGAAAAAAAACCTAAAAATATCAGTATCATGGATTTCCCAATATAACAGCCCAGCCAGATCATGGTAGATTGAAACAAACATTATTAATCCCCATTTACCCCCTACAAATAGACCTTTCAATTAGCTTTTTAGGGTCCCACTTTTTTTTTTCTTTTTGAGACAGTCTTGCTGTCACCCAGGTTGGAGTGCAGTGGCATGATCTCTGCTCACTGTAACCTCTGCCTCTTGGGTTCAAGTGATTCTTATGCCTCAGCCTCCCCAGTAGCTGGGATTACAGTTGTGCACCACCATACCCAGCTAATTTTTCTATTTTTAGTAGAGACACGGTTTTGCCATGTAGGCCAGGCTCGTCTTGAACTCCTGGCCTCAAGTGATCTGCCTGCCTCTGCCTCCCAAAGTGCAGGGATTACAGGTGTGAGCCACTGTACCAAGCCTAGGGTCCCACTCTTAAAAAGGAGCAGACCACCAAGAATTTGAGAAAGTCTTTAATATGAAAGACAGCAAAATAAAGGAATAGTCAGCAACAAAAAACCCCAACCCCTCTGGACATTAAAAATATAGAAGAAGCTATTTTAAATAGATTAGAAATAAAGTTGAGGACATCTCAGAGAAGGAAGATACAAAATAGAAGAGTAAACATAAGACCATTAGGAGATAAATTCAGGAAGTCCACCATCCAAATCACTACTTTTCAGAAAAAAAAGAGGGCTGGGACTTCCATCCTCTTTCCCCTCTTAATATCTTGCATATATAATGCAAGAATATTTTCCAGAACTGAGGAACTTGATTTTCCATACATAAAATTCCAAACTGCCCAGCACAATAGGTGACTCACTCAAGACACAACATTGGGAAATTTTCAAAACATTATAAAGAGAAGATCCTAAGAGGTCTGGGTTGAAGGTGAGAAGGAACGGATACATTAAAAAAAAAATTGGAATAGCATTACATTTCTCAACATATGGAACACAGAAAACAATGGGTCAGTGCCTTCCTAGTCCTAAGGAAAAATCATTCCCAATCTAGAATTGTATATCCAATCAACATATCAATGGAGTACGACAAGAGATATGAAAGTTTCTCAAGAAATTTATCTCACACACATTTTCTCAGAAAAGCACTTAAAGGTGACAAATCAAGAAAGAAGTCAGGAAATTAACACACGATGTGACAATGAAAAGATACATCAACCCAAAGAGGTGTGTAGCAAACCTTGAGAGTAAACCAATCCTAATGGAACATGAAGATATCTCTAAGAAAATGCCCAAAGTGTCTGAACAAACTAAAAGGAAGTTGGCACAAAAGGAGAATATGGGGACAAATCAGTGATAAGTACAAAAAAGAAATGAAAAACTCCATTAAAAAAGTTATGCAGGAGGCCGGGCACGATGGCTCACACCTGTAATCCCAACACTTTGGGAGGCCGAGGTGGGCGGACTGCCTGAGCTCAGGAGTTCGCAACCAGCGTAGGCAACACAGTGAACCCCGTCTCCACTAAAATACAAAAAAAAATTAGCCAGGCTTGGCGGCGTGCGCCTGAAGTCTCAGTTACTAGGGAGGCTGAGACAAAAGAATTGCTTGAACCTGGGAGGCGGAAGTTGCAGTGAGCCAAGGTGGTGCCACTGCATTCCAGCCTGGGCAACAGAGCGAGACTTCATCTCAAAAAAAAAAAAAAAAAAATACAGATCTAACCTAAATTTTAACTATAATAGAACTAAATCGAATAACAGATAAATAGAATCATGACAACAGAAAAATAACTATTAAAACTATAGGCCGGGTGCAGTGTCTCACACCTGTAATCACAGCAGTTTGGGAGGCCAAGGTGGGTGGATCACCTAAAGCCAGGAGTTTTAGATCAGTCTGGCCAACATGGCAAAACCCCATCTCTACTAAAAATACAAAAATTAGCTGGGTGTGGTGGCATATGCCTGTAATCCCAGATATTCAGGAAGCTGAGGCAGGAGAACTGCTTGAACCTGGGATGTGGGGGTTGCAGTGAGCCACGATCATGCCACTGTATTCCTGCCTAGGTGATAGAGCAAGACTCCTGTCTCAAAAAAAAAAAAAAAAAAAAAAACTATAATAGATGGCACGAGTACATCTGTCCATAAAAGTAATGGGATGGTGAGAAAGCTAACTATATATAGTTTCCATACTACAGATTCTACATGATGCCTAAAATTGAAATACCAAAACAGAAAAATAAAGCAAGCTATTTATGATATGAAAGTAATGTGAGAATCAGAGTTTAAAGTAGTTGCCTCTCTGGAGTAGAAAACATCATCACTGCCTTTTAGAATTGAGTTTTTGTTTTTTTTTTTCTGAGACAGGGTCTCACTTTGTCTGCCAGGCTGGAGTGCATGTGGTCTTGGCTCACTGCAACCTCTGCCTCCCAGGCACAAGGAATCTTCCCACCTCAGCCTTTCCAGTAGCTGGGACTAGAGGCATGTGCCACCATGCCCGGCTACCTTTGGTATTTTTTTTGTAGAGATGGGATTTTGCCATGTTGCCCAAGCTGGTCTTGAACTCCTGGGCTCAAATGATCCGCATACTTAAGCCTCCCAAAGTGCTAGGATTACAGGCATGAGCCACTGCACCTGGCCTAGATTTGAGTTTTTTTATATTAAGTACACAATAACATTGAAAATGAAAAGGACACTTTTTAAAAAGATAGCTTCATGTAGCCTAGACAGTAACAAAATTAAGATCCTCAGAGCAACAACTATAGTGACAAGTTAAAAGGTTATGCTATTTATAGTATAAAGGAAGATCATCAATAATTTCTGTTATTACTCGTATTGATAAATAATTCAGAATAACCTCTTCCACTAAGAATGAATTCTTTACATAAGTAATGTATTTACATATAGTAAATAAAATGTTAAATCTAAATCTCACCCACAGTTGAAGAACATGGTATATAAATTGGTCTGGAAGGCTAAGTTCCCTGGCTATACAAATATGTAACAGCATATCCTTTAGGAGCACCACTATGACTTGTCTAAAAGTTATCTAATTCCTCCTGTTTTCTTAGAACGGATAACACTAAACAGTTATCTTTTATTAATGATTTAGGGTTTATATACATCAGTGATATACATGTCATAGGCTCTTTGTCCTAACATTAAATGTCCTCAAGGACCACTCTGCTTTCCAGTTAAATTTTTTTTCTTTTTAGACAGGGTTTCACTGTCACTCAGGCTGGAGTACAGTGGCACAATCACAGTTGACTGTAGCCTCAACCTCCCAGGCCCAAGTCATCTTCCCATCTCAGCCTCTCGAGTAGCTGGGACTACAGGTGCAGACCACCACACCTGGCTGATTTTTATTTTTCATAGAAACAGCATCTCCTTATGTTGCCCAGGCTTAAAACTTTTTTTTTTTTTTTTTGAGACGGAGTTTCACTCTCGTTACCCAGGCTGGAGTGCAATGGCGCGATCTCTGCTCACCGCAGCCTCCACCTCCTGGGTTCAGGCAATTCTCCTGCCTCAGCCTCCTGAGTAGCTGCGATTTCAGGCACGTGCCACCATGCCCAGCTGATTTTTTGTATTTTTAGTAGAGATGGGGTTTCACCATGTTGACCAGGATGGTCTCGATCTCTTGACCTCGTGATCCACCCGCCTTGGCCTCCCAAAATGCTGGGATTACAGGCGTGAGCCACCGCGCCTGGCCCCTTAAAACTTTTTAAGAAGTTTCTCCTCTCTTTTCTTGCAGGGAGGCTGGCACTACTCTCTAGGGATCTGTTACTAGCAATGCTTCACCTTTTAATTTGTGTCTTATTTTGAAAGAGCTTCAAAATTAGGTAACTAAACTTGTTAACCATATACAATAGCAACACATAGGCTAAGACTAAGGGAAAAAGAAGGTCACCTTTTAATAACTGCAAGAGTTTTTGAGTAAAGAGTCATTCCTTGCATCTGCTTTGGGTTTAAAAAAAAAAAAAAAAAAAAAAAAAGAGGAAAAATTAAAAAAAAAAAAAAGGGTCATTCCTGTGTCATGAATAAGTGAGAGTACTGAAAAACTAAATTTCAAATCGATATGTATGATTATATTTAAGCTGATTCAAAAATACCTACATCAAGCTCTATATGTAATGCTGGAAGAGTTTCTTCCCCTCCATTGATAAACCAATACTTTCACTGTTTGTCTGAATCTTCAAAACTGCTGATTTATAGAGTCAAAAGAGCATCTAAGGATAAGAGACATTGAGAACAGAGACATAGTAGCAACAAACCTGCCTTTCTAACCCAGAAAGGCACTCATTTAGCACTCTTCTGGTCCCACAAACACTTACTCATTCAGTAAAAATTTATTGAGCCATGCTGTTTGCAAGGAATTGTACTAGGTGCTGCAATGCAAAGAGTACGACAAAACTGTCTGTAGATGTAGGATCTGAATTGGTCTTTGATATTTTCCTGATATGAGAGAGAAAGAAGTCCCTATTTGGCTAATTTAGGGAGCTAAGAGAATGGACAAGGTCTGCTTATGTCCGTCTGGCAGACCAGCATAAGCTTTTTGTCTTCCCCAAATCAGTTGTAAGTCAAAACAGATAAGGCACATTTTTTAAAAAAAACTCCCCCCTTTAATTGACCAAAGTAAAGCCATGACATTTCATTTGGTAACCTGTTCAGAATTATAAAAATCATTTCATTTGGCCCAGCCCATACCACCCAGGACAAAATTTCCAGACAATTCTAATGCCATCCAGCTTTGTTCTTAAAAACTGCATTAAAAAAAAAAAATCTTCAATGTCCTAAATGTGATGCGTTCAGTGCAAAGCATATCAGAGCTGGATGTGACATTTATGTCCTTGACAAGCCTCGATTATCCAGGTCCTTTACCTGCAACATAAAGAAGTCAGTTTAATATTTACAATCAGATCAACTTTGAAGAAATTTTCTACTAAAATGGATTCACCCACAGTGAGTAGGATTATGTTGGGATCTGCAGCCTGGTTTGGGGCTGTGAATAAACAAGCACTGATTAGAGACTAGATTCTCTCTGCTTAGCCTTTTGGAATACCTCTGTGAGGAGCAATATTACTGATCCACCCTCCATGTAGATCAAGGGTTCTTAATCTTTTCTTATATGAGAGATATACTCCTATGTGGTTCTAAGTGACTCTATATACCATAAGTTCTTCAGAGAGAGAAGAAAATATAGTTAAAAAATATAACTATGTGAACTTTTGCTCTATTTCCTGCACTCCCCCCACCTGTAAGTCTCATAATCACAGAAACATGGTTGAGTCAAGCTCCAGCTGGAAAAATATCACTGCAACAACTGCCAACATCACGGCAGACTGGGATCATCTACTCTCCCTGAACAACCTAAAATAAAAAGTAAAATTTTGAGTGGGTTTGCAAGCTAGTTTTCAAACACAGATGCCCTGAGAAATTTCCCTATTTGAGAAATATGTGACCCATTTTATAAGCACTGAAACCAATCTGCAAAAATGAAAGTTACTTTCTGAGACATACAGCATCTGCTTACCTTGTATATCCTGACCAGCCAGTGTTCTGTGGTATACGCTTCTTCCAGGACATCAAGCTCAAAGTCTTTATTCCCAATCTCAGCATTTCGGACACGGTCAAAGCCTGGAGGACGCTCTAAAGAGGGATGAAAAAGAACACACTTCTTTCTACAGTGCTGATTTCCTAGAGAGACAGTATATGGATTCAGTACACCATCTATTGATTCAGATTATTCCTCAGCCTGCATTTTGGTGAGAGTAGACCCTGCAAAAAAGGGCATCAAGTAGTAAGGGCAAATCAAGTGTTACCCTAAGTTCTATGCAAGATTATGCTTGGCAGTCAAAATCTTATCTCTGCTAAGACAGACATAAGAAGCTGACTTCCAAGGCCCTCTGTTCCTAAGGATTGTCATTCAGAGCCTCTAACACACTAGCAAACCTTGCATGGATCAGAGAAAAAAACCTACCAGAAACCAAAGACGTGCATTCATGTCAGAAATTTTCCCTAGTGCAGAACCAAGAAACTGAAGTCAGGAGAGGCTTAACCGAATAAAATAACTCTCAATATCTTCATCTGAAGATATGAAAAGTCACTTTTTCACCCTTTTGTTCCTTTCTTCACTATAATTCCTTTAAGGACAAAAGTAATGGTCAAAAGCACAGAATCTGGAGCCAGTCCTCGTCAGTTTGAATCCTGACTCTGCCACTAGTTATGTGACACTGGGCAGTTAAATAACCTATTTATACCTCAATTTCCTCATATATAAAATAACAGACCAGGTGTGGTGGCTCACACCTGTAATCCTAGCACTTTGGGAGGCTGAGGTGGGTGGATCACTTGCAATCAGGAGTTTGAGACTAGCCTGGCCAACAAGGTGAAACCCTATCTCTACTAAAAATACCAAGAAAAAAAAAAAAATTAGCTGAGGGTGGTGGAGCACACCTGTAATTCTAGCTACTAGGGGGCTGAGACAGGAGAATCACTTGAACCTGGGAGATGGAGGCTGCAGTGAGTCGAGATCGCACCACTGCACTCCAGCCTGGGTAACAGAGTGAGACCTCATCTCAAAAAAGAAAAAAAGGAAAAAAAAAAAACAATAGCTGGGTGCAGTAACTCATGTCTATAATTCCAGTACTTTGGGAGGCCAAGACAAGAGGACTGCTTGAGCTCAGACGTTCCAGACCAGCCTGGGCAACACAGTGAGACCTTGTCTCTACAAAAAGTTTAAACACAGCCAGGCATTGCGGTGTGCACCTTAGTTCCAGCTACTCAGGAGGCTGAGGCAGGAGGACTGCTTGAGCCCTGGAAATCAAGGCTGCAGTGAGCCATGATTGCACCACTGCACTCCAGCCTGGGTGTCAGAGCAAAAACCCGGTCCCAAAAAAATATACGAACAATAAAATTAAAGATAATATGACAATAATGTCATCATCTGCCTTTTAGATTGCTGTGAGGATTAAATGAGTTAACAGACATAAAGCACTTACTAGTGCTTGGTATATGGAAAATACTGTGTATTAGTAATCACTGTTATTACTATTGTTATTAATATTATGAATCACTCACTGGCTTCTGTGTAGACCTGTCCAAAGCGGTAGTAACACATCTTGTACATGAGGCAGTTGAGCAGCACTGGAGAACCTTCACGGTCTACACGGAACTCCCCAGTTGGAGTATAGTAGTCATTTTCCTTGATATGTTTGCCTGTATCTGTGCTCCCTCCAATCCGGACCATCCAAAGAAACTTGTTGATATCTAGGGGGAAAAAAAAAACTGCTGCATCACAAAGGTTGATGGAGTTAAAGCAGGTTAGTAATTCCTTTTTTTTTGAGACGGAGTTTTGCTGTTGTTGCCCAGACTGGAATGCAATGGCAGAATCTTGGCTCACTGCAACCTCCGCCTCCTGGGTTCACGCAATTCTCCTGCCTCAGCCTCCTGAGCAGCTGGGACTACAGGCACGCACCATCATGCCCAGCTAATTTTTTTGTATTTTTAGTAGAGATGAGGTTTTACCTTGTTGACCAGGATGGTCTCGATTTGACCTTGTGATCCACCCACCTTGGCCTCCCAAAGTGCTGGGATTACAGGCTTGAGCCACCGCGCCCAGCCTGCAGATTAGTAATTCTAAGAAAATTCCTCAACATTTTTTTAAAGGGGATTGGTATCATTTAACTCTGATTTGTAAAAATAGTGAGGACAACATATAGGCAAAGCATTTTTCCTCAAAATACACAACCTTTCCTAAAAATTATTATACTCCTGAAATCCTATGCTACTAGTCCAGACTTAAGCCACAAATGAAATTGGTCCTATAGCTTAGCTGGGCTAAGCTATCAAATATGGTAGCAATTAGCTACATGTAGCTGCTGAGTGGCTGAAATGTGGCTAGTCCAAATTAAGATGTACTATAAGTATAAAGTTCACACCAGGTAAGTATGAAATACAAACTGGATTTTGAAATCTCAGTCAAAAAACCTCCAAACACAAAAGTCATATACTGGTTACATGTTAAGTAATAAAGTTTTGATATGATTATTCAGTTAAATAAAATTATTAAAATTACTTTCACCTGTTTCTTTACACTTATTTTGATGTGACTAATATAAAGCTTAAATGATAATGTGGTTTCCATTATATTCTATTAGACAGTGGGCAGGACTGATCTAAAGAGGAGCAGCTTTACCAAAAAGGTAGACGAGACATGAATGTGCTCCTGTTTGACCAACAGTTGCAAAGTTATAGACCTCCAAAGTATGTATATGGGAAGTCAACATTTCTGTGTCAAACACACTCCCATGCCTGATAAACACTGACACTACTATCAACTCATGATATCTCTTAGAGTTCATCATTCCCTGTATTGCTTCCATAGGCTTTAGGGAAATCAACTGCTACAGGTTTCACTGGATGATTAGTATTAAAAATATTTCTAATCCATTAAAAAAAAAAGTAAGATTTCTATTGCACTACTGCAAAGAGTTCCAGGAGATACTGCAGTGGTTAGGAACAGACTCTGGATCCAAACTGCCCGAGTTTGAATTCCAGCACTACCAATTCTAGCCAGGTGACCCTGAGCAAGTTATTTAACCTTTCTGTGCTTCAGTTTCCTTATTTGTCAAATTAGAAAAATAAGAGTATCTACAACAATAGGGCTGCTATGAGTAACGACATGTGAAGCATTTAATAAGTTGTCACATGGTAAAAATCCAATGAAAAATATTACTATCTTTAGGCAGTGTCTGCATTCTTACCTGGATCTTAAAAATGGAAAAACTGAGGCACAGAGACTTGACTAGATCACAGAGCCAGAAATGGGAGCAAAAACAAAACCCCAGAACATCAGCTCAGCTATCATAGAGCGCTAGTATTGTAGCTGCCCAGGAGGTATGGCTGAAGCATAAAACCCACAAGCTTTATGAATTGAAGACTCGAAATAACAGGAATGGCTGGGTGTGGCGGCTCACGCCTGTAATCCTAGCACTTTGGGACGCTGAGGTAGGAGAATCGCTTGAGCACAGGAGTTCGAGACCAGCCTGGGCAACATGTTGAAGTCTAATCTCTACAAAACTTGGCCAGGCACGGTGATGTGAGCCTACAGTACCAGCTACTCAGGAGGCTGAGGTGGGAAGATCACTTGAGCAGAGGAAGAATAGGCTGCAGTGAGCAGAGATCATGCCACTGCACTCCAGCCTGGGTGACAAAGTGAAACCCCGTCTCAATGATGATGATGATGATGATGATGATGATGATGATGATAGGAACTGCATGAAAGACAGCTCATTGTTCAAAAGATATGGTTGTCTACAAAAAAAGTTGGGCCAGGCTCAACTTTTTTTATTTTTATTATATTATACCTCTCAAATGTTACAGAACTCCTATTAGTAAAGCCCAATTAATAATATGACCTTGAAAAATAAATTCGGTGTAATAAATTAATCAGTATGGTTGGCCTTCCACATCTGTGGGTTTGACATCCATAAATTGAACAAACCTCAAATCAAAAATGTTCACAAAACAAAAAACCAGATGACTGCATCTGTAACATAGATGGATACTTTTTTCTTGTCATTATTCCCTAGACAACACAGTATTAACAACTATTTACCTAGTATTAGGGATTAGCATTACAATCTAGCGATGATTTAAAGTATACAAGAAAATGTATGTATATTACATACAAATACTATACCATTTTATATAAGGGACTTGAGCATCCACAAATTTTGGTATCCTGATGGGAGGTGGGGGGGATGTCCTAGAAACAATCCCCCATGGATACAGAGGGACAACTACACTATCTTCTATGATTTTCACATATATGTTTTCATTTTTTTTTTTTTTTTTAGACGGGAGTCTCACTCTGTCACACAGGCTGGAGTGCAGTGTCATAATCTAGGCTCACTGAAACCTCTGCTGCCCAGGTTCAAGTGATTCTCCAGCCTCAGCCGCCAAGTAGCTGGGATTACAGGCATGCGCCACTACATGTGGCGAATTTTTCTATTTTTTTAGTAGAGACAGGGTTTCGCCATGTTGGTCAGGCTAGTCTCGAACTCCTGACCTCAAGTAATCCACCCACCTTGGCTTCCCAAAGTGCTGGGATTACAAGTGTGAGTGAGCCACCACACCCAGCCTTTGCATTGTTTTTTAATGGTTATCTTATTACCTTTTTTTTTTTCCCGAAGTGATTTTACCTTTATTTCCTTCACTTTAAGCCAATCATGAAATTTCAGTGATTTCTGGGGTGGGGACAGAAGGAAGGCGGTGTCAAAAATCATTGGGGCTGTGACCTAGTTGGCCCGTGGAGGTGCAGGTAGGATGGGCCCTCACTGGGGCAGCTGGAGGAGCATGGACTGCCCCGCTGATAGGTAGGTGATGTTCTGAGAGCCGGTAGACGACGTCCTCTGCAGCTTCCAGCTTGCACAGCTCAATCAGGCCGTCCCCTGTGGTGGCCAGTGAGTTGGCAATCAGCTTAGCTACTTTGGAGTTGCCCTTAGCAGAGATGATAGCCGCCCTTTTCAGCTGCTCAGCCTTTTCCACCACAAATCTGGCCCTCTCTGCTTCCTGCTGAGCCACCTGTTTGGCTTCCACCGCTTCTGTGAACTCCTTCCCAAAGTTCAGATGTGTCAAGGAAACGTTGTCCAGGATGAGCCCAAAGGTGGCTGCTCGCTCTGTAAGGTTGTCGCTCACTTGCCTGGTCATGGCAGCTCTCTCCAGGTGATTAGTTCTCCAGCATCAAAGTGAGCCACCACTGACTTGAGGATCTTGGTCATGATGGACGGCAGCACACACTCACCATAGTCCTCTCTGATGCTGATGAAGATGCGAGGAAGCTGGCTAGCAACGGGCCCAAAGAGGATGCGCAGTGTGGCCGAGAATGGCAGTCAAAGATAATTGGCTTCTGTACCCATAGGATGACAAAGTGAGTCCCTTTCCCTACCACAATGTCCTGTACTCCACAGAACTGGTCAAAGATGACAGCTCTGTGCCCAGCATCCACATTATATAAGGCAGAGTTCACCACGCCTCCTGCAACAGCTAAGGCCAGGCCAAACTTGCCAATGGACTCAAAAGCTTTGGCAGCCATGTTTTCTTCTGCTGGACCCTCTCATACCTGCTTCTACTCTGACCTCCATGTGAATTCACTATCTTCTTTAAAAAACAAAAAGTTTAACTCATATATCCCCTCCCACCATAATCCCCTCCCACCAGGATATCAAAATTCACAAATGCTCAAGTCCCTTATATAAAAGGGTGTAGTATTTGTATATAACCTATGTACAACTGTCCATATACTTTAAATCATCTCTAGATCACCTATAGTACCTAATACGGTATAAATGCTATGTAAATAGTTGTTATACTATATTTTTCATTTATATCATTTTTATTGTTGTATTATGATTTTTTTTCACAAATATTTTCCATTTGTGGTTGGTTGAACCCACAGATGTAGAACCCACAGATACAGAGGGGAAACTGTATACAGAGTATTTAGAAATATGCGTTAGAAGTACTAGAAGAAGTAGCTACAGGAATAATTGTTTCTGTGTCTGATGTTAAGGGGGCTTACATTTTGGGGCAGTGAACTATCATTTTTATTATAAACCTTCAGAACTGTATAACTTTTTCTTTTTGAAACAGAGTCTCACTCTGTTCCCCAGACTGGAGTGCAATGGTGCAATTGTAGCTCATTGCAAACTCTGTCTCCCGGGTTCAAATGATTCTCCTGCCTCAGCCTCCTGAGTAGCTAGGACTACAGGCATATGCCACCACACCTGGCTAATTTTTGTAAAGACAAGATTTCACTATGTTGCCCAGGCTGGTCACGAACTCATGACCTCAAGTGACTGCCCACCTCAGCCTCCCAAAGTGCTGGGATTACAGGCCATGAGCCATGGCGCCCAGCTGTGAACTGTTTAACTTTTTAAAGTATAAATAGGCATTACATTAATTTTTAAGTCAGAGAACTCTATTTGGAGGTTTCCTCTAAAAATCTTTGTGCCAGGCCGGGCGCAGTGGCTCACGCCTGTAATCCCAGAGCTTTGGGAGGCCGAGGTGGGTGGATCATGTGGTGAGGAGTTTGAGACCAGCCTGGCCAAGATGTTGAAAGCCCTCTCTACTAAAAATACAAAAATTAGCTGGGCGTAATGGCATGCATCTGTAATCTCAGCTACTCAGGAGGCTGACACAAGAGAACTGCTTGAACCTGGGAGGTGGAAGTTGCAGTGAGCCGAGATCGCACCATTGTACTCCCGCCTGGGTGACAGAGTGAGACTCCGTCTCAAAATAAATAAATAAAAGTCTTTGTGCCAACAGTCATAAGGCACATGGTAACCACCATTTTACACATACTTTTATTTATATTTATTGTATGTATATATTTGTATACTTATGTCTATATTACATATAGACATATGTAAATATATACATATAATATATAATATGTATTTTATATATATAAGCATATATTTAAAATGTTCTCTTTTTTTACACGCTCTTTTCAGGCCATATAAAACATTTCTAAGCTGGCCAATGATTATATGGCTTAAACCCACTAAAAAAATGCTAATTCTTAAGTTTACTATCATAAGCCTTATGTTCAGCTTGGTTTTATTACTGGTTGTGGAACTACTTCTATGCCGTGCACAATCATATAGCATGCTGTACCTACATTAAGAATTGCTTACATTTATGTCCTACTTGTTGCAAAAAGAAAAATATCAAAATACCAAAACCTCAAGCTGCAAATACTTAGGAACTTCCCATGTAAGAAAAACATCTTGGTAAAATATCAGTAAAAGTATAGAAAACTAGGAGATTCATCTAATTTTCTTAGAATCTATGTCCTTCAGCTAAAAATAGAATTAAGTATATTACCATCAGAGGAATACCCAGTGAGGCCTCCAAAAATGACCAGCACATAGCTGACATCAAGCTCCCTCATGATCTCATAGGCTTTTTCCTCTGTGGACGCCATTGCCTGGAAAAACAAACGTACAATTTTCAGAGCACAATACCAAGTTATATGATCCCCTCATGCAGACTATTTCCCACTAGACCTTGCACACCAAGCACTCAAAGATCCCTTTATCTTACCTGCCCTACTCGAGAAATGTGGGTATTATTCCATGTGTTATTGTCTACTAAAATTGTTCGGTTTGCCATAGCTGTAATCTGATAGCCGTAATCCCACCAGGACATGACCTTCGCATCCTGAAAGTAGAATGGGAAATGGAAATAATAAGCTTCTCCCTGTCTCTAAAAATCAAATGCAATAGAGAAGGCATCTTTGGTCTGACAGAAGTGATACCTGGCTGACTAATCTATTTCTTCACAAAGTAATGCAGGTCTAACCAGAAAATAAATTCTGGCACCTGGTCCTCCATTTATATACAATCATAAAATCTCAGCACAAATAACAAAGCAACATTCCCAATACGTCATCCCAGATCATTTTATACAAACAAACATAGGGAGTGGGAGGTGTGGGAGACTGTGCAATGTAGCCACATCAATAGCCTAGTGTCATTTGACAATTGTCTTAAATAACCTTTAACAGAATCACAAAATACAATTATTATAGAGTGGAAACTCAAATCACAGGATATGATGGACAAGAATTAAGAGACTCTTAAAAGTTTTGATTCCTAACAAATTGTCTTAGAAATGCTATTCCTAATAGTTATTGTAAAGGAAATCACTTCAGATTCTCAAAAGGTATAATTATAATATTAAAAGCAGTTATCATAAGGTGATCACTTCACACAAGACTTATATTTTTCTTCTTGCTTCAATTTTCTGATTTTTCTAAAGTGAACATGTATTATTTATCTGTAAGTTTTTTCTTCTTTTATAACTGGGATGTTCTACCTCATTTAGAAATCATCATAACAGTAAAAGTATCCACGCAATGTCTAGATAATTACTAGTAAGAGTAACTATAAAAGATCCCTGAATTAAATGGAGGTTCACCTTTAAGGCTCATTTAAGACTAGAGTTGCAAAGTTCCAATTTCACCAAGCTTTCCACCCATTTAAAAGCTGTATGATTCACTATAACATCAAATGTTTCCCCCTTTGCCCCTAACCCACAATTCCCATTCCTCCCAAATCTTTACCTCTGGAGTATTGTGACGAAGCCAGTAATATGCTTCTCGGAAGTCATCAAAGATGATCCTACTGCCATCCCCACCACGGGCAGACAGCACAATGGACGGAGAAGAGTAGGCCTCACTGGTCACCCAGGTTGAATGAAAGGTGTAGGTGATGAGAAAGAAAGCCATGACCAGTATCATCCCACTTGCCACCTAAAAAGGGAAAAAGAATTAATTGTGTAGTTAACCAAACTAAATTTCCACAATACAGGACAACTTCTTAGACACATTCCATAATATAGGTAAGATTGATCAAAACAAGTCAGAGGACATATGAGTTAATTCTGACCACCTATGACAGTGCTCTGCTTTACTCCCCTGCCCCAACAGACACACACATACACACACACACACAGAGTTGCCCAAATCTGTTCTTAGCATCACTTAATTCTCACTTCATTCTTAATAGGGTAGGTAGAGTCCTGTTGCTTCTTGCTCTTCTTGTCTGGACGACTTATGTCCAGATTCTTCATGTATGTAGACAGCACCTGGGAGACTCCAATGCCAGAAAGAATGCACATAACAGGTGCCAACACTAGCATTAGACGCACCTAACGGAGACAGGAAGCATGATTAGTCTAATCAGTGTTCAACAAATTACAAATTTCAGCCTATTAGCAGATCAAAACATTAATTTAGGAGTTTTCATCAAACATGACCTCCATGAAAAGTGAAAGAGAAAATACTTAAAACAGTTACAGTAGAAGTATATATTTCTTCAACTGTTTCAATTATATGCATGTACATATGTGTGTCTTGAACAATAATGATATAAAGTTTATTTCGTAACTGTGGTTTGAGACCAAAAAAGTATAAGAAACACTCTTTTACTACAATATATGAAATCCCTCCTCTCTTTTGACAATCGAGCACTGGGTAATACTCCTATGCCTTCAAGAAAAAAATACCACCTCCCATTTTAAGACACCCAGGGGCATATTTTCCAAAAGCGCCTATTTTCCAACAAAGTGCAAAAGTGCTTTTATAATACAAAGTTATAAATCCAAGAAAGTTGGACCCCACAACCAGAATGTATGAGTGTCCCATACATTCTGGGAAGGATCAACAACAGCAAACAGCTTTACAACTCAGTCCCTCAAATGCTCAGAGAGAAGCATGAGCACAATCATCAGTACTTTCTGAATTCTGCCAGGCAGATAAAAAAGCACCTCAGAAGTACAGTGAAAAAGTCTGCCAGACTGAGGGTATTCCTCACCATTACAGCTGAAAAGTACATGCTGGTCACACCATACATGATGATAAAAATCCGGGCATCAGACAGGTTGCTAAAGCAGTAATAGAGGCCAACTACAAAAGAGGGAAGGAGAAATAAGCAGCTGAGTCCTGTAGGTCGAAACCTACAAGGGAAAGTATCTTCATTATATAATTGGATGATTCCACACATTTAACCCAGCAATTCCACTTCCAGGAATTTATCCTAAAAAAACAATCATAGAAACATGCAAAGATGTTTACTATAGCACACTTTAAAGTAGCAAAAAAATCAGAAACAATCTAAATGTCCAATAACAAGGAGCTAATTATAGTTCATTTATTTATTTATTTATTTTTGAGACAGAGTCTCGCTCTTTCGCCAGGCTGGAGTCCAATGGCACGATCTTGGCTCACTGCAACCTCTGCCTCCTGAGTTCAAGCAATTCTCCTGCCTCAGCCTCCCAAGTAGCTGGGACTACAGGCGTGCGCCACCATGCCCAGTTAATTTTTGTATTTTAGTAGAGACAGGGCTTCACCATGTTGGCCAGGATGGTCTCGATCTCTTGACCTTGTGATCCGCCTGCCTCGGCCTCCCAAAGTGCTGGGATTACAGGCATGAGCCACCGCACCCCACCTAATTATAGTGTATTTATAAAATGGAATATATCAATTAAAATATTGCCACATGAGATTATGGACCATTTGCCTTCTTACACATCTCTGTACTCAAAAAAAAAAGTGACATATTTTAAGTATTTCTATAAAATAATACTAAATAACAGAAATTTAATTCTTTATGAAGTTAAAAAAAATCAAGGAAAAAAACTATGATCTCATTCTTATTCAATAAATGATAAATATACATCAAAATGTTAACAGTGGCTAGAGATGGGTAGTGAGAACTCCAGAATATTTACCTGTTTTGAGATGGGTTCTTGCTGTATAACCAAGGCTGGTCTCAAACTCCCAGGCTCAAGTAATCCTTCTACCCAAGCCTTCCAAGTAGCTGGGACTATAGATGCACACCACCATGCCCAGCTTATTTATCTTACATTTGTGTGTGTGTGTGCGCGTGTGCATGCACATGCACATCATGTGTTTTTATTTTTAAGTGGAGACAGGGGTCTCACTACATTGCCCAGACTGATCTTGAACTCCTAGCCTCAAGCAATCCTCCCACCTCAGCCTCCCAAAGTACTGGGATTACTGATGTGAGTTACAACTCCAGGCCTGTTTTAATTTTTTGACTTCGGTCTCACTATGTTGCCCATGGTGATCTTAAATTCCTGACCTCAAGCCATCTTCCCACCTCAGCCTCCTAAGTGGCTAGAATTATAGGCATGAGCCACTGTACCGGCATCTTTTTCTTTTGTACTCATTTATATATATTTTTACAATACACAAATTACTTTTAAAATAAGAGAAAAGTAAAAGTTGGCCAGGCGCAGTGGCTCACACCTGTAATCCCAGCACTATGGGAGGCCAAGGTGAGCAGATGGCTTGAGCCCACAGGTTTTGAGACCAGCCTGGGCAACGTGGTCAAATCCCATCTCTACGGAAAAAAAACAAAAAACAAAAAACAAAAATTAGCTGGGCATGGTGGCATGCACCTGTAGTCCCAGCTACTCAGAAGGGTGAGGTGGGAGGATGGCTTGAGCCCCAGAGGCAGAGGCTGCAGTAAGCAAAGATCGTACAACTGCCCTGCAGCCTAGGCAATAAAGCAAGACTCTATCGCAAAAAAAAAAAGCAAAGTTATTTTTTAAGAGAAAAAGACCACTGGTAAATTCTAAAACACATCTGGATTGGCCAGAAGATAGGAGATTGATGAGGCTTTACAATTAGCAGTACTCATTATGGGACTTCAACACTGCCAAGAGGAGAAACAGGGGTAAAGGGCTGCCCTTTATCCCTGATTTGGAGCATGATAGAAATACTCCAAAAAAAAAAAAAAAAAAAAGAAAAGAAAAAAACGAGTAAAAATTACAGTTAAGTTTTAACTCATAACAAAACGGCATAGGTTTTGAACTTGCCAGTATCTACAAATATAGAACTTCTGTTACTCTATAGGTTCATATATGAGAAAATTTGCTTAGCTATCCTCTGTATTACAAAACATAAACAGGCAAAGAAAAACAAAACATGAATGAGGGTAGCTTACAAATCTGGAATCAAATGGGGATTCTTACGAACAAGGCCATTTCAGAACACAAAGCCACATACCTGGAAACATGAAGACGAGGAGCTGCAGGTCAAAATAGTATGAGGACCAGGTTGTGGGCTGATGCTCAGACACAGAAGCAATGATGGGGATGTTGTTCTTAGCATAAGAAGGATCCAGCAGTGAGTAGAAACGTCCCGTCCAGGGAGATATTTTTCCTGGTAGCAAAGAGGCAATAAGCATTCCACACATACTCTTCAAACAAACATCTGATCCTAATTAATCAAAACTTCCCATTTTAATAAGACTCTCAGTGACAGAGAAGGATTAGGTTTTTGCTTAATTACCACCAATATTTAGAGAGTTTCACTCCTTCGAGAGTACTTTTGTCAGCACTGGCAGCAGAATAAAGCCAGGCTGTGTATAAACTTGGAGAGAAGAATAGAGGCAGAAATGCTACCTGAAAGGGTTTTAGGCCAAATTTGGTCAAACCAAGGCCAATTCTAGAGACTAAATCAACTATATCCTCAGGTCCTGCTCTGAATTAGTCAACAGACAGACTTGAGCAAAATCAAATTAAATCTCTGAGAAATAAAAGTAGGGAAAATGGAGAAGGAAAATGCGGCCTTCCAACCAACTAAACAGCCATGATTTAGTTTCCATGGGATTAGATGACTGCCACCTTGGAGGGTACGGTAAGCAATATGATGACTTCTCCCACCCAACCAATAGGAAAGAAAAAAAAGAAAGGAAAAGGAGAAAGATTTGCAAGCTAAGATCTAGTTCTTTCACCAGGTGTGATTAAGAGCGGCTCCAACAAGACATGCTCTTCTATGCTGAATCCAAGCACTGGGCTGAAAAGTAGACCGAATGTAAAAATGTAGGATTGTATATGCTTCAAATGAAAACAGAAATAAGAAAAGAAGAATCCTTTGTGGTCAAAAAATACCATCTTTTGTAGTTTATTCTATGTCTGTACCCAAATGTATTTAATAATAAAAGCTGTGAGCCTGGCTGGGCACAGTGGCTCACTCCTGTAATCCTAGCACTTTGGGAGGCCAAGGCAGGCAGACCATCTGAGGTCAGGAGTTCGAGACCAGTCTGACCAACATGGTGAAACCCTGTCTACTAAAAATACAAAATTAGCCAGGCATGGGCTGAGATTGTGCCGTTGCACACCAGCCTGGGCAATAAGAGGGAAACTCCATTTCAAAAAGAAAAAAGCTGTGAGCCTTCCCTACCTGTAAGCATGAGGAGAGTTCCCACGGTGAGAAGGACAAAGCCTACAAGAGAGATGACACTCCGGAAAAGAACTTCAAATTGCTGTGGATTCAACTTGCTGCGCAGGTAATCCACAAAGGCATGGATCTGGCAGAGACCAAAGACCCCAAAGGCTGCCATGTGCTCTGATGAAAGGACAGGCTGTAGGTAAAAGGATATGTATGTTAAGATTGAAAAAAAAAAAAAAAAAATGAATAAGTCCAGCCCAGGCCTGCATTATCCTGATCTAGTTCAAACCAACTGGGTCAAATGAGCTCTGAGGCCCCAAAGGAACCAGGGCAAATCTAGGGAAGGGTTTAATTCAACCAGCCATATTTTCTAAAGTATTTGGAGCCCCCTAAAGCATAAGATACGCTATCATTATCACATCTCTGGCTTTTGTTCAGGTTATTTCCTCAGCGTAGACTGTAATTTTCCCCAAATTCCCATCCACTAAAATTCTCATCACTCAAGGTTCACCTCAAATATCATCTCTTCCTAATAATCTGCCAAACTGAAATCAATTACTCCTATGTTCCATATCGCATTAGTATCTTCTAGCACTTAATCATTCTCTGCCTTAGAGCAGTGATTCTCAAACGCTAGTGGGCACTGTAATAACTAAGGGGGTAGGAGTGTTAAAATGCAAATTGCTGAGCCCCACCTCCGGAGTTTCTGATTCAGTAGGTCTGTGTTGGGGCTCTAGAATTTGCACTTATTTCTAACAAGTTCCTAGATGCTGCTGTTGATAATGATACAAGAACCACACTTCCAGAACTGTAGCCTATCAAATATAGCCAGCTGCCTGTATTCCTTTCCCCGCAAGAAGACCAAGACTTCCTTAAAAACCATGAGCATATTTTTATTCTTTTTACATTTTCAAGTGATTAGCAAACTGCATATTCAAATGCTTTTCAACTTATGATTGGGTTACATCTCAATAAACCCATTGTAAGTTGAAAATATCCTAAGTAGAAAATGCATTTAATATGCCTAACCTACGGAACACCGTAGCTTAGCGTAGAGTATCTTAAACATGCTGAGAACATTTAACATTAGCCTACAGTTGGGCAAAATCATCTAACACAAAGCCTATTTTATAATAAGTACTGAATATCTCATGTAATTTATTGACTACTATGCTGAAAGTGAAAAACAGAATGTTTATATACATACTGGAAGTACAGTTTCTATTGAATGTGTATCACTTTCACACCATTCTAAAGGCAAAAAATCCTAAGTCAACACTTCATAAGTTGGGGCCAACCTGCAGTAGGTGATCAGTAAAGAAATACTTGTTGGCCAGGCACGGTGGCTCATGCCTGTAATCCCAGCACTTTGGGAGGTCAAGGCAGGCAGATCACCTGAAGTTGGGAGTTCAAGACCAGCCTGACCAACATAGAGAAACCCTGTCTCTACTAAAAATACAAAAACTTAGCTGGCATAGTGGCACATGCCTGTAATCCCAGCTACTCGGGAGGCTGAGGCAGGAGAATCACCTGAACCCGGAGGCGGAGGTTGTGGTGAGCCAAGATCACGCCACTGCACTCCAGCCTGGGAAACAAGAGCGAAACTCCATCTCAAAAAAAAAAAAAAAGAAAAGAAAAAAGAAATACTTGTTGACCTCTAAATGTTTGTACTTTCATCGTAATTTCGCAGGAAAAATCAAACACACCACGTTATTCTCTAACTCTTGTCTGTTAATCCTATGTAACAATGTTGCTAAAGGTTTGTGCTTTACTTCCTGAAGGACTTACAATTAGATGCCATTAAGATCAGGATCCTCTGCTACTACACAGGACCTTCTACATTAAAAGGACTGGAAACTTTAACTTTGATCACTCATCTAAACTCAACTCAACTCAATATTCCTCCCCTTCCCACAAACTTAAAGCCAAAGTAAGAACTATGAAATTCAAACTGCAAGAAGCAAATACTAACACACTACAGGACACAAACTTTAATGACCAATAATTCTGTTTCTTCAATTAACACGAGTAGTTCAATATAAAAGCTGTGAATATGGCCAAGCTCAGTGGCTCATGCTTATAATCCCAACACTTTGGGAGGCCAAGGTAGGCGGCTCACCTGAGGTCAGGAGTTTGACACCAGCCTGGCCAACACGGTGAAACTCCGTCTCTACTAAAAATGCAAAAATTAGCTGGGTATGGTGGCAGGTGCCTGTAATCCCAGCTCCTTGGGAGGCTGAGGCAGAAGAATCACTTGAACCCGGGAAGCGGAGGTTGCAGTGAGCCGAGATCATGCCATGGCACTCCAGTCTGGGGGACAAGAGCGAGACTTCATCTCAAGGAAAAAAAAAAAAAAGCTGTCATTAAGTTGTATTCTTCTTAACAGAATCCAAGATAAATCAGTCTAGTTGGGGCTGCACAGAAAAAGTAGAAGCTGAAAAACCTACTCAGTCAAGAGCTCACCTGGAAACCCACAAAGGAGATCTGCATAGAAAGTATAGTGCCCAGGCAGTAAACAGTACAGTAGGCCACATAGATCCGGTGGGAGAAACGGCCTGTGAGCATCAGCACCAGGACATGGAGAGGAATCAAATTGATCAGAAACACATAACCTCCCCATGACGAGACCTACAACAGAACAGAAAAAAAACAGTTCCTCTGAGCATGCCTCCTCAGACCACCACCACTATACTGTAGAATATCATCTGTGACTTTTTAAAGAACACCCTTTATAGTAACTATAATTTTATTTATGCCAAATGGCTTAAAGTGTTTAAATAATTGTTTTTTTTTTTAAACAGGAAAATCAAGTTCTTACATGTACAAGTTTGTTATACAAAATAAAATAAGTTTAAAAATAGAAAATCAAGTTCAAACTCAACACAATAACTCAAACCCCTGCTCCCTTGTGGTTGCTGATGTCATGACCACATAATGAGAGGGACTTAAGCCTCAGAATTCATCTAAATACAATCACTGTAAGGTCATACAGAGGATTTAGGGATATGTGAGCAAGTAGTAGCAATTAAGGAGGTTTACATATATACATAAGTATGAACAGAAAAAATATACTGGAAAAGAAAAAAATTTAGGGGAACCTACCAGAAAAGAAAGTTAGTCAAATAAAAAGAAAGAGAGAAAGAAAGTTGGTCAAATAATAAGTACCCATAGGAAATACAGTATTTAGAGAACTTAAAAATTAAAAACATGTAGAAAAAGTTACCATGTAGAAGTAAGCAAGGGCACACTTAGCTGCCCAACAGATAGAACCAGTCTTTACTGCCTTGATCCACATGTAGTAGGTGAGAAGCATGCAAAAGATGGCAATTCCTGCAGAAAGAACACACCAAGAATTCAACAAGAGGCCAGGCTAGTATAGTGATTCAGAATATTGTTCTGGAACAGATTGCCTGGATCTACTACCAAGTAACAGTGTCATTTTAGGCAAATTATTTACCTTTTTGTTTCAGTTTGTTTCAGTTTCATGTAAAAAGAAGTAATAGTATTTACTTCATAAAAGTGGTCTGAAGACAAACATAATTAATGCTTGTAAAGCACTTAGAACAATACCTAGCATATAATAAACACTATGTAAATATTGGCCATTATTATCATTCTTTCCAAGCACTAAACATCCTGCTAGTATAGTCCTAAAGACATCGTACACTATCATTCATCATCCTGCCTCTACGTCTTAACATAGCTAATACTCATGCTCCAATTGCCTCTTTCCTTGATATCTGCCTAATGAAGTTTCAACTTCAGGACCCCGCTGAACCTTAACCACTTCCAAAAAGCGTTCCTTGATTCCCGAATTTGCTTTTGTTTTTGTTTTTCTAAACAGGGTCTTGCTCTATCGCCAGGCTGAAGTGCAGTGGTGATCACAGCTCGCTGCAGCCTCAACCTCCCAGGCTCAAGCAATCCTCCCACTTCAGTTCCCTGGGTAGCTGGGACTACAGGCACATACAACCATGCCCAGCTAATTTTTGTATTTCTTGTAGAGACAGGGTTGCCCAGGCTGGTCTCAAACTCCTGAGCTCAAATGATCCACCCACCTCGGCCTCCCAAAGTACTGGATTATAAAGCATGAACCACTGAGCTCAGCCCCAAATCTGAATTAATCTTTCCATTCACTACATTACTGAAGTACTCTGTCAAATTTCTATCATGGCACACAGTGCTATCTACTGTCATTGAGTCATATTTATATGTCCATTTTAATCTTCCTTAATATATTATGGGCCAATATAACCTTATCCATTACCTATCTCTTTAATTTCTTATAATTATGCCAAAAAAAATCTTATTATCTATCTTTCTAACACTTAATACTATGTTTTCCCAATAACATTCATTAAGTGTATGTTGAATTGAAAACAAGTCAATAAGTCATTAAAATTTTAAGGACATTTATTTGCTTTATCTAGAAAAACAAAGCAAAGGGTTATAATGTTAAAACAACAGTTAACTATTTTATGAGTACAGAGAGGAACCAAAGATTTGTAAGAAAAGTAAACAACTACCTTTCTAGAAAAGATGATGGGAAGAGAATATGAACTTGTCCAAGATCCCTTCCTGCCCATTTCTAATCTTCCAACCCAGATACCATTTTTATTAGTGCTAAGCCATAGATTGCACTTTATGAAGCTCTGTTGGATAATGAGGTGAGAAGATCATCTTTAGCATTTTAAGAGTCTTACCTTCATTATCATAGGAGCCAGCCACAGATCGGGAGATATACCCAGGAACTACAGCAATCATGGCAGCAGCAAGAAGCCCAGCCCCTGCATCCTATAAGAAAAAAAGGGCATTAAGACATTAACACCAATGCAACTCTGAGAAAGAACAGAGGATCCAACTAGTCCATTCTGTTTATAATGGGCCCAGAAAACAGTCCAACAATTGCAACGTAGATGTGAGATGTCAGAAATGGTAGAAATGCCAGGACGCAATGGCTCACACCTGTAATCCCAGCACTTTGGGAGGCTGAAGCGGGCTGATCACCTGAGGTCAGGAGTTCGAGACCAATCTGATCAACAGGGAGAAACGCCATCTCTGCTAAAAATACAAAAATTAGCCAGGTGTGGTGGTGCATGCCTGTAATCCCAGCTACTTGGAAGGCTGAGGCACGAGAATCACTTGAACTCGGGAGGCAGAGGTTGCAGTGAACCGAGATCATGCCATTGCACTCCAGCATGGGCAACAAGAGCGAAACTTCATCTCAAAAAAAAAGAAGAAGAAAAAGGAAATGCTCACAGCACAAGAAAGCTAAAAACTTCATGACTAATTCCCTATGATGACACTAAACCTGACACTGAGAACACATATGCTGAGGACAGACAAATCAAGTGAGATGTCAAACATCAATACTGTCCCAGAATGGGCTGTCTGGCTACCAATCTCACCAAGCTTGTAAGTCTCTACTTCTAACAACATCTGCACATCACTGGAACACCAGTCACATCTCTACAACTCATGCAAGGACAGTCAAAGGAAGAAAAATTATTATTTCAGTTAAAAAGCCAAAAAAGTTAAGTGATAATCTACCTAAACCAAAGATGCTAAGAGCTTAGGCAATAAAGCTTAAATATCACCAGGCACCCTTTGAGCTCAGGAGAAAGGAGCAACAGATATAAGCCACACTCCAAAAAGCAAAGACTTGTCTGTTGAAAAGAGTCAAATTTGGGAAAGGGCAGCAAGGAGAAGGATGAAAAGTTTTCCAAACTAAATTCAGGCTTCCCAAACCCCGTACTGGTTTATCACCTCTCAGGTATCTCCCTGACACCACAGCACAAACTAAGAATAGCACCTAGGGAGCCAAGGTCAGCAATGCTGAAACATGGAAAAAGAGAGTCAGCATTATGGAGTTACTACGTAAGCCAAATGGCTTAAGAATTTTAAGATAATTTTTTTAATCAACAAATAATTGCTGAGTACATTCCTGGTAGGAAAAACTAACCATTTTGGAAAGTTTCATGTAGTTTTTGTTCCTCTCTTTTACACTGTGAGAACTTCAACCAAACATTTTGATTTTGCATTTTAAATGTTTTTTTTCTTTACGTAGCGATTTACATTTCATTTCCAACTGTTCTCTCATAAGGACAAACAATTACTAATGATAAAAAATCACATATTCCAGCCGGGCGTGGTGGCTCAGGCCTGTAATCCCAGCACTTTGGGAGGCCAAGGCAGATAGATCACCTGAAGTTCAAGATCAGCCTGGTCAACATAGTGAAACCCCATCTCTAATAAAAATAAAAAAAATTAGCCGGGCGTGGGAAGCAGGTGCCTGTAATCCCAGCTACTTGGGAGGCTGAGGCAGGAGAATCACTTGAACCCGGGAGGCAAAGGTTGCGGTGAGCTGAGATCATGCCACTGCACTCCAGCCTGGGCAACAAGAGCAAGACTCCATCTCAAAAAAAAAAAAAAAAAGGAAAAAGGCTAGGCATGGTGGCTCACTCATATAATCCTAGCACTTTGGAAGACCGAGGCGGCTGGATCACCTGAGGTCAGGAGTTTGTGACCAGCCTGATCAACATGGAGAAACCCTGCCTCTACTAAAAATACAAAATTAGCCAGGTGTGGTGGCACATGCCTGTAGTCCCAACTACTCAGGAGGCTGAGGCAGGAGAATCACTTGAATCTAGGAGGCAGAGGTTGTGGTGAGCCAAGATTGCGCCATTGCACTCCAGCCTGGGCAATAAGAGCAAAACTCTGTTTCAAAAAAAAACATACACACATATTCCAGAAAGGAGTTGGAATGAACCCAATTAATACAGCCCAGTAAAAGTTGTCTTTATTCTCTGGCTCCCTACCTTTCTAAGGCTCTGTCCCCCACCCTCCAGCATCTATTAAAGAGGCTCAATAACATTCATTCCCAAGCCTCCTGTCACCCCAAATCCTTCACCTTGAGCTCTTTGGTAAGGTGGTACGTGACGATGGTGGTGAAGGAGGAGAAGAGAGGGGCCAGGAACACACAGACATTCCGAATGTCGATGGTGATGTGGAAAAAATGGAGTACATGGTAGATTGCAGCAGAGGTGATCATTAAACCTGTAATGGGAAGAAGAAACTCCATTAGGTTGTCTTACCAGAACTTAAGGGAAAAAGAAAGGGAAAGTCCCAGCATCAATAAAGTGACTATGTAAGTCTTGACAAATCACCAGAAATACTAATACAGCAACTGCAGTAAGCCTATAAATTTCTCTCCTAAGGATTCAATCAGAAGTCTAGAACGTATAAAAGCCACCCATTTCTACTCTACTACAAATGTACTCCTATCTATATAAGATGCACTTTTAGGAATCTGTAATCAAAATGATATCACAAGTGTCACAAGACATACCTGCTAGAAATAAAAGAAACTGTTCTCTAGCATACAAATATTTGCTTTAAAAAAAAAAAAATCTGGTCTCCTCACCTGGGTAAATTGTTCCTCCAATGATTCGTCCCAAAGGGTACCAAGCTCGGTCATCAAACCAGTTATGGAATTTATAAAACCCCTCCTCAGCCAGGAACCTGGTAGTCCGATAATTAAAGTACCTATAGCAAGAAAGAAACTTTGTTGTGAATTTATGGTGAATTTTGCTCCTCGGGATACACCATTGAGAAACTCAGCATTACTCAATGAAAAATCAGTTTAGCATCAAAAATTATGCCATGAAATCATTTTCACAACCAGAAGTCTGTTTATTTCTAGCTCCATGCTTGTCTCAACTAAAGCATTGCTTCTCTCATGAGGAAATGAAACTGGAGCCTAACATTGTAACAAAGCAATCAAATGGGATACTTCATCAAGCTGACATGTAGCCATCAGGACCAGTCAGAGAATTCAAGCACCCTGAAGACAAAGCCACTGAGATGTGGGCACCAATAGATTCTGGCTTTCAGGCGACAGGAACATATTTTAAACAATCTATACTGCACACAAAGACACATGGATAATTTCCAGTGATAAGCATCTTTAAAGATGTTGGTACACCATCATATGTAGGATGAAAAATTTTTAACCTATTCCATAACACAAATTCCTTAATCAGTGTTTAAACTTTTAACAAGGTTTACTAATGCAGTTATGTAAAATGCTTCTTATGTCACCTGTATAGTAGCATAAAAATATAGATTACAGCTGGGCAGAGTAGCTCATGCATGTAAGCCCAGTACTTTGGGAGGCTGAGGTGGGAGAATCACTTAAGCCCAGGAGTTCAAGACTAGCCTGAGCAACATAGTAAGACCCCATCTCTACAGAAAAATTTTAAAAAATTAGCCAGGCATGGTGGCACACACCTATAGTCCCAGCTACTCAGGAGGCTGAAGTGGCAAGACTGCTTGAGCCCAGAAGGTCGAGGCTGCAGTGAGCCATGATCATAACAGTGTGCTCCAGACTGGGCAACAGAGCAAGACCCTGTCTCAAAAAAATAGATAGATAGATAGATAGATAGATAGACAGATGGATAGATAGATACACAGATACACAGATAACATGAAAAGTATTTGATATAAAATGCTTAAGAGCTATAAACGGAAAGACAGTTCTTTAGGCCCAAAATATATAAGCCCTTCTCTTAAGTTTCTCATTTAAAAAGAAATAAGGCTGGGCAAGGTAGCTAATACCTGTAATCCCAGTACTTTGGTAGGCCAAGGCAGGTGGATCACTTGAGCTCAAGAGTTCAAGACCAGCTTGCACAACATAGCAAGACCCTGTCTCTAAAAAAATACAAAAATTAGCAGGACTTAGTGGCACACACCTGTAGTCCCAGCTACTTGGGAGGTTGAAATAAGAAGACCACCTGAGCCCAGGGAGGTTGAAGCTTCAGTGAGCCGTGATCATGCCACTGCATTCCAGTCTGGTGACAGAGTAAGACCCTATCTCAAAACAAAAAATTAATAATAATAATAAATAAAAATAAATAAGAGGCTGGCGCGGTAGTTCATGCCTGTTATCCCAGCACTTTGGGAGGCTGAGGTGGGTAGATGGCTTGAGCACAGGAGTTTGAGACCAGCCTGGGAACATGGTAAGACCCAATCTATAAAAAAATACAAAAATTAGCTGGACGTGGTAGTAAGCGCCTACAGTCCGAGCTACTTGGGGGGCTAAGGCGGGAGGATTGCTTGAGCCCAGGAGATTGAGGCTGCATGAGCCATAATTGAGCCACTGAACTTCAGCATGGGCGACAGAGCAAGACGCTGTCTCCAAAAAAAAAAAGGAAGACAGACAAAAATAAACAAAGAGTCTCAAACTAGAGATAGTTTAATTACTACACATAATCATGACTAACCATCCTCTCTGTCTACCTCTCTAACCCTATTTCCTCCTTGGTTAGTCAAGTTTTGAAAGCTGAAGTAAACAGAAGCAACAGATGGCAGAAATCTCTATCTTTCTGTTTGTCACTGATGTTATTTTGGTGACTGTCAGGAACAGAAGAGATGAGGGTTGCAGGCATCAATATGTGTCAGAATTGTGTCCTTTACCTACCAGTAGGAGAAGTAAAGTGAGAGAGAGGAAATATAAGTTAGTAGAAATAGGTCTGGACTGGGTTCACCACTCTGGGCATCAGTTTCCTCCTATGCAAAAGGAAGTGTCAAGTCCTTTATGGTCCCTAACAGCTCTTGACAACAAGACAGATGCTCTTGCTTTCCCTGATTATCTAACACCATTATTTGCTCATCCAGGGAGTCTGAGAAAGAAGTCTAACAGATTGGGATCAAGAAACAAAAGGAGGTCAGGCATGGAGGCTCACGCCTATAATCCCAGTACTTTGTGAGGCAGAGGAGGGAGGATTGCTTGAGCCCAGGAGTTTGATACCAGCCTGGGAAACATCGTGAGGCTCCATCTCTACAAAAATTTTTCTAAAAATTAGCCAGGCATGGTGGCATATGCCTGTGGTCCCAGCTACTTGGGAAGCTGAGGTGGGAGGATTACCTGGGCCCCAGAGGTCAAGGCTGCAGTAAGCCATAATCATGCCACTGCACTTCAGCTTGGGTGACAGTCAGACCCAGTCTCAAACAAAAAAAGGAAAAACAAAAGGATAGGTTTCCTCATTCATGAGAAAAAGTATAAACTGATTTGAGAGGCCCCAAACAGAATATTTGTAATGCCTCCAAAACACTTTCAAATATCTACACAAAATTAAAAATTTGCAAATAGATGCAGGCATTTTGAATCAATACCCCACAAGCTTGAATATACTATTTTTAAGATGTCAATAATATTTCAAGAGCCTACGATTTTGGCCCTCCAAGTTTGTTATAAGCCTTAACTTTAGGCAATATAAAAAACTGGAGTCAGACAAATGTACATTTAAATCTTGGTTCCTCCATGTACTGAATATGTAACCTTAGATAACCATTACCAGCCTGAGTCTCCTTATTTCTTTTTTTGGGACAGAGTCTTGCTCTGTTGCCAAGGGTGGAGTGCAGTGGTGTAATCTCGGCTCACTGCAACCTCCACCTCCCGGGTTCAAGCGATTCTCCTGCTTCAGCCTCCCAAGTAGCTGGGATTACAGGCACATGCCACCACACCCAGCAAATTTTCGTCTTTTTAGAAGAGACGGGGCTTCACTATGTTGGCCAGGCTGGTCTTGAACTCCTGACCTCGTGATCTGCCTGCCTTGGCTTCCCATGGTGCTGGGTTACAGGCGTGAGCCACTGTGCCCCACTGAGTCTCCTCATTGCTAAGAAGGGAATAATAGTACCTACATCTCAAAGGGTTGCTGAAAGGATTTGGAGATAATCTGTAAATTAGTGCTTGGAACAAAATGAATGCTTAGTAAATGGTAGTTATTAATACCACTGAGGACTTCCACTATATCTTTTTCATCTGATGAACAAAACTCCCAATCAAACTGATAACTCTGAGCTTTTGGCATTGCCCTAGAATTTTAACTACGAAGCCCAACTTCTATCACAAAAACTGCTAACAAACAAACAAACAAAAAATGTCATGAATCTCAAGTCCATGATTTGTGATTCTCTTCTGAGCCTGGAATGTACACCAGGATCCTTTCCCTTAATCTGCAAACTTTTATCAAACTGAGCAGCCAGCATTCTCTTAGCCTATCCAGATCTTAAACGATAGGCAGACATACTAGCAATGCCTCTCACGTTTTTTGAGGTTGAGATTTACTTGGTAATTCCAACACATACTTTTTTTTTCTATAGAGATGGGGTCTCACCACATTGCCCAGGCTGGTCTCAAATTCCTGAGCTCAAGTGATTCCCCAACCTTGGCCTCCCAAAGTGCTGAGCCACCGTGCCTGGCCTCCAACACATATATTTTAAAAGCAGATAATTATCTCCTTTGGAAGAGTTTAAGGTTTTTTTTCCCCTGAAATGTACTGAAAGCACATCTCTATCACTGAGAGCAGACTGAAATTTTAACCCAAAACCCATGAACCTGAATGCCTCCCAAAGAAAATAATATCAGATCAAGCAAAGGTACTCACGGATCAAACTCATGAATAACACTTTCAAATCTCAGGACAGCAAAGAGACGAGTGGAAAAAGCTGCAAAAAACCAGAGAATTAATATTTTATTGGTATTGTGCCATGGAAGAGCAGCAGATATAGTACTATAATGAAGACAGTATTATGCAGTAGAGAGATCACAGAAAATATAAAATAATTCCTGAATAAAGTCTTTATCCATCTCTTCCCACATATAGGAAACGAAAAAAGTTTACTTTCCCCTGACAATGGCATCTACATTTTCCACTTTCACAGGACACAGTTAACTAATTATAAAAGCCTGTAACATTACATTCACCTACTAATGCCAAACTCAACTTACATGGTCATCTTCTATATACGTTGACACTCCCACCATACACACACACAACAAACCTTAACCTTGGAGCAAAGAGGTATGGCAAGCAAGTCCTATACCTAGGACTCATGAAGAGCCAGAAAATCTAAAAAACAGAGTAACCTCTCAAGAGACTTTCAAAAATACTAAAGGAGGCACCTAAACTGAAGATAATTGTCTTTTACAAAAATCAGTTATCCAAGGGTCCCCAATATCTCTTTCAGCCCTATGAGAAAACAGAATTGGCACAGCATGTTTCCCATTCTTTCACAGATGATCATAGCCCTGATTTTTTTTTTTTTTTTTGAGAGAGAGCCTCAATCTGTCACCCATATTGTAGTGCAGTGGTGCAGTCTCTGCTCACTGCAACCTCTGCCTCTCAGGTTCAAGTGATTCTTGTGCCTCAGCCACCCAAGTAGCTGGGATTACAGGTATCCACCACCACACCCAACTAATTTTTGTATTTTTACAGGGTTTCACCATGTTGGCCAGGTTGGTCTCAAACTCCCAGGCTCAAGTGATCTACCCACCCCAGGCTCCCAAAGTGCTGAGATTACAGAAGTGAGCCACTGTGCCTGGCCCATAGCTGTGACTTTTATATTCCTTTTACTTTATTTTGTCTTCATAAAATTATACTGATGAGAAATGGAAAAACATAACAATCTGCTAAAAAGAACAAGGCATTTTAAGGTAGCCATTTTCAATGTTTTTCTAGACTTTCTCCTTTCTATCCCCAAAGAAAGAGAGGTTCACGTGCACACTCACATAATACAGCAGCCATTGACAGAATGAGAAGCTTCAGAAGTGTGTCCTGCTTCTCATAGGACAATCGCAAAAATCCAAGCTTAGTCATCTTGACATGAATGGGTGGCAACAGGTGACAATCAGCTAAAATGAAAAAGTCAAAACCACAGGATATTGAATACCTTCAATTTACCTCATTAACCTTCATATTTTATGATGAAAGGGAAACATAAAGGACATAGAAGCTAGCAAAAACACCAGAAAGGGTCAAGGCTAATGCTAATATCCAACTCTGGCTTCAAGTATGATCAACCTGTAAGGAATTAGGCAAAAGTCAAGTCTAAGTGTCAAGTCTAAAATGGAGTGGTCAGAATAAACCACTCATAATTCTATTTCCCACTCCTTCACAGCTAACAAGTACATAAGCACAATTAGCAACAGTATAGTACAACAAGGAAGAGATGAAAATATAAATAGGAACAATTGGAAATACTGAAAAATAATAAAATGGAGAAAGAGAGCACTCAGGAAAAGGTAGGATTCTATGGGGATGGGGGGAAGCAGGAAATGAACACTGAGACCAGACGTGAAAGCCCCAGCACTTTGGGAGGCCAAGGAGGGAGGATTGCTTGAAGCCAGGAGTTCAAGACCAATCTGAGCGACAGAGCGAAAACCCACCTCCACAAAAAATTGTAAAATTATGCAGGCTTGCTGGCTGGCACCTGCAGTCCCAGCTACTCAGGAAGCTGAGGCAGGAGTTGGAGGCTGCAGTGGGCTATGATCACACCTCTGCACTTCAGCCTGGGCAACAGAGCCAGAATTCATCTCTTTAAAAAGGAAAAAAAAAAAAAAAGAAGGGAAAAGCAATAAGAGGAAAAACAGAAGTCACCACTGAATCAGCACAATATCCTACCCTAAATTTAAACTTCAACTGAATGGCTATAAACTTTTTTCTTTTCCAAATCCCAATTGGGCTGTCAGGTCAACTGAGAGCATGACTGATAACTAATGAAGGAAAAATCATTCACTCAAGAGAGGAGGTACATACATACAGATCCACTGTGCTCTCAATCGCATATATCAGACTAACTACTGCTCAGATCTATACCCGCTTTCAATCACCTATCCCAAGGCATCTCTGTAACTGACAATGCTGATTTAAGAGATTGATTCAATTACACAGAGACAGTTTGATGGCACCAGATGATAATCTGGATGCCACTAGATAATCTAGATATCACTAGATGATAATCTAGAGGGAAAGAAAACGAATTTTTCCTACTGAAGCAGAAGAGTGGGGGGAAAAAAAGTAGATTAAAATGTTGAGGGACACTATCTGTAGGCAGTACAAAACGGAAATCACATGATGGTTAAGAATTATTTAGATAGCACTAATCTACCATAGGTTAGTTATTCTTGAATAAGACAGTACTATCACCTTCTTAAATCATCATTGAAGGCTTTTTTTGCTTTATTCTTTTTGACACATAATTGTACATATTTATGGAGTGTGACATTTTGGTACATGTATATCATGTATAATAATCAGGTTAGGATAATTAGTAGATTCATCACCTCAAACACTTATTGTTTTGTTGTCTTAGGAATATTCAAAATCCACTCTTCTAGCTATCTGAAAATATATAATAAATTATGTATTTTTGTTGTTAATTATACTCCAAATCATAGTTATCCTATAGAACACTAGAATGTATTCCTCCTATCTAGTTGTACTTGTATATCTCTTAACAAACCTGTGTCTATCCTCCCCCACGAGTCTTTTTCCCACTATTATTGGAATAAAGAAGAAAGAAAATAAAAACAAAAACAAAAAACACTGGACTAGGTGGAAGGCATACAGAATGCTAGCCCCAACACTAAGAAGTCAAGCATGTTCTCCACAATTAACTGTCCCAGAAGAGCAGATTTAGAAATATGTTTAAGTATATTCCCAAAGGGAAAACTTGTTTTGTAATCAAAAATGGGAAGTCAACAATTCAGCCGTATCTCTCAGGGTTTGCAGCTGTTTTCTGGAATGCCTGAAATAGGAACAAACTTGACACCAATGTGTCGATATGAGCCACACACCAAAATGAGACTGCTAAGACCTCTACTTGAAAACTGAGTAAAGTAACTGGTCATTTCGGGCAGGACCGTAAGGGAGATTTCATCTCGTGCTCTTTGGTCACTTCAGCACAGCGCCAAAGCAAATAAGAGCAAAAACACCTTTCTTAAAACACTTACCATCTGCGTTCCTCTTCAACTGTGCCCTGCAAGCCGTGGCATATCCTGCCACCGTAGCTCTAGTTTCCCAGACTGCAATTTCCCCAGCCACGTTTTCCTACACACGTTTCCATACTCTCTCACAATCCTTTACTATCCTCTCCCTCCGGCTCTCTCCAGCGGGTCCCACCTCCCTCTTCTTCCCCCGGCTCAAAGAACTGACCACCTCTGATACCCCCCAGCGCGGGACCCTCATCACCCCAGCATTCTACGCGCCTTCCCCTCCAGAACTAGTCCCGGGACCCAGTCTTTCCCACGCTCTGTACCCAAGACCCACCTTACCCTCCCTCCCCAGACCCTCACATCCTTCCATCCAGGAAGCCCCCACACCACGCCCCACGCCCCTTCCTCTGCAAGGCCCTAAGCTCTGCTCTCCACCCTCATTTAGAGTTTTGCTTCCAGCACTTCGTTCAGTCCCACCAACGCCATGGACTGCACCTGCCACTGATTTTCAAGTTAAGTTCTACGGCTTTCTCACCTGGACAGCTTTACTAAGCAATCCGCTGGGCTCCCTCGGCCATCAGTTCAGCGGCGCACCCAACCCTGGCAGCGAACAGATCCGCCTCCCGGACTGCGTCCCTGTTGGCTGGCTCCCGGCCAATAAGACGCTTCCGGAGAACGATAGGATCGCGGAACTGTCTGTCAAAGGAGGAGGCGTAAACCAAGCCTTGAATCCAGTTGTTAATTGGTCATTACAGCTATCATTTAGCACTCTAGAGGCGGGGCTGTGTGCTCCCGCCGGGCTATCATAGGCCGGCGCATCGGAGTCAGGAGCGCGTAAAGAACATGCCCTAAGCAGTTTGGTTGAGAGCCGAGGAGTGACGTGTCAGTCTGCGGAACCACTGGGAGTCGCGGTGGAAAGGCGTAGGCTGCGGACTCCCGTCATGTGACAAGAAGCGGAAACTACGCCGAAATAGACCCAAGCTGCAAGTCCCAGTAAGTCGGAATGCGGAGCCGCTGGTCTCTTGTCTTTTTTAAGTTAGAAATTGTTACCTAATACAAGGTGAAAGGAGAGGAGGGACGCATTTTCTACCCACTTATTCTCAGTTTAAACTCAAACGCTTCCTGGTCCACACCGTTCCGTCTTTTGCAGGATGTGCCTGATAATTAGCTCAAGAGCTTTTACTGTGCTTTGGTAACTGCGATGCACCTGGGAACCTTGACAGTTCACAAGACATGGCCCTTTTTTCAGCCACTGGCTTTGTGAAAGAGCGTGCCTAGGCCTAAAGGGGTTGCCGGGGCTAAGCTGGAAGCGTCTCCACTGCCAGCTGAGACAGCCGGCGCCGCGGAGGCACAGCTCTCCCAAACAGCAGGCGGGCTTCCTCGGGGGACCAGGAGGCAGCCCGGCCATGCCTTAGCAGCCCTTTGTAAGATACCTGCCAGAGAGCCGCTCTCCCTATCCTAACTTGCCTCTCTTCTCCCGCACCCTACGGCCCCTCACCCCCAATAGCGTTGCTAAGGGCAGAGAAGTGGACGAAGTTTCAGCAGCAATTCCACCATCTCAGACTCGCAACCAACACACCTACATCATGCACTTCCACTCCCTGCGCGCCTCGGTAAGCTAAGGCTACACCAGAGAGAGTGGGAACGTCCCGCAGCTCTTCGAGCTTGTTGCCACTGCCATTCCCACAGCTTCCTATTTACTCTCCCACAAAGGCAACCCACCGTTTATTGAAAGGTCATTGTTTAAACCAGTGCTTCAGAATCACATGTGCTTTTTCCAAAATTCACATGACCAGGCTTCCCTCAGGACGTTATGATTCAATAGATCTGCTTTTTTGTTTTTAATAGTAAGTGTTCGCAAAAGCAAACAAGCTGAGCCTGAAGGAATTACAGAACTTGAAGTAAATGCTTCTTCGAAACAAGAGTTTTTTCTCTTTTTTTTTTTTTTTAAAGGTAATCAGTTATTTCATTAGATTATTAGGACATTTAAAATACCAATTTGTGAGGATAAATTCCATTTGTCAGGGCAAACACAGATCGCAGGTAGCCCTGGAGCTGAGGAATAGCTTTGATTTTTGGTAAAATTTGTGAGTCCACAGCTTTCTGATCAATCTTGCGCTGCTCTGTAATCTTGTATTTCTCTTTTTCTGTGTCGAAGATCTCACCTTTCTTGTGTCTGGGCTTTCGCAGCTTCTTCTTGAAGTAAGCATCAGTAAGATGTTTTGGGATTTTTACATTGCTGATATCAATTTTGGGTGAGGTGGCAATGACAAATTTCTGGTGCGTTCTTCGCAGAGGAACTCAATTGAGGACCAGAGGTCCAGTCACAAGTAATAAGCCACTAGCCAGCTGCTTCAGGAAAACCACCCTCTTGCCCCTGTGGCATCCAGTGAGGATGATCAGAATGGTCCCGGGGGTGATGCTGGCTCGCAGTTTTCTCACGTGCTGCCTGAAGGGTTTTTTGCCGTGGCTCAACAGCTTTCGAGGCACATCTTCAGGAGGATAATCCCTAGGCATTTTGCGAAGTATAACCACCCGGGTACCGCCGTTTTGTCACCACCAACTGGATTTGTAATAGTTGCAAGAACCTTCTCCTTTTTCTTTTCAACCTTGGATTCAGCTGCTGAGTACTTCCTCTTGTACATGGCCTTTCTGGAATACATGGCAGATCGGGAATACCTGCCAATTAGACAGGATTGCGGCTGCAATGGGGCTTCCCCTTCTTGGGCTTTTTAGCCTTGAGGTTACCCTTTTTCACTTTGTTACCAGCATCAGCTTTCTTGGCTTCAGGTTTCTTGAGTATCCAGCTTCTCAACTTTTTCACCTGCCATCTTGCAAGATGGGCAAGAGTGAGTTTTTTCTCTTTTAAAAAAAAAAAAAAGGCGGGGGTGGAATTAAAATTAGAAAGATTGTGTTAAAGCTTTTTTTTTTTTTTTTTTAAAGTACTACCTTAAAATACTGAGGCCAGGCGCCGTGGCTCAAGCCTGTAATCCCAGCACTTTGGGACGCTGAGGCAGGTGGATCACTTGAGGTCAGGAGTTCAAGAACAGCCTGGCCAACATGGTGAAACCGTGTCTCTACTAAAAATACAAAAATTAGCTGGGCATGGTGGCGGGTGCCTGTAATCCCGGCTACTGGGGAGGCTGAGGCAGGAGAATCGCTTGAACCCAGGAGTCGGAGGTTGCAGTGAACCAAGATCATGCTATTGCACTACAGCCTGGGTGACAGAGACTCCGTCTCCAAAAAAAAAAAAAAAAAGTATTAAACATATTTCTTAAAGAGAATACATTTAAGCTTCCAAGTGATGAAATTAAGTCAGCCTTTTCAGAAGTCAAAATAATGTGTGAACAAAGTTTGAAAATCAAAGCTTATTTTTAGGATGAGTCTCTGGTACCAGTCCATGGGGAAAGGCTTATTTATGAATAAAATCAAAGGAAAACAAACTCATTGGAAAATCATTATAATTATTATAAACAAACCTTGAGAGCCAGGTGTGGTGGCTCAGGATTGTAATCCCAGCACTTTGGGAGGTTGAGACGAGAGGATGGTTTGAGGTCAGGGGTTCAAGACTAGCCTGGGCAACATAGTGAGATGCAGTACCTACAAAAAATAATTTAAAAAATTAGCTGGACGTGGTCGTGTAAACCCAACTACTGAGGAGGCTGAGGCAGGAGGATCACTTGAGCCCAGAAGTTAGGCAGAAGTGAGCTATGATCACACCACTTTACTCCAGCCTGGGCAACAGAGCAAGAAATACCCTGTCTTTAAAATAAAATAATAAAATAAATAAACCTAGAGTTTATACATGAATTTAATGTATCAGTTAATCCCCCCCCCCCC